TTAACCCCTGCACTTCCTCTCCAGTCATGTTTAGTCTACTCTTAAATTGTTGGTTTTTTTTTTAATTTTAATGTTTGGATAATTTAAGGAAATTGTCTAAATTACTTAAAACCTTAGCATATACTTGAAAACATTGAAGGACCAGTAACAAATCATTATTATTAACCATACTGCTAGCTGCAAAGTGGATTAAACTGAGCATACTCTCAGATAAAATGAAAGAAATGGAAAATTATCTACTGAGAGGGTAGAGAATAATCTCTGGATGAATTGGAAACTGTAGTGATTTTTTAAAAATACCATAAGGCATTCAAAGATTACTTGGCATATGTCAAAAGACAGGATCAATGACTAACATTTAAGAAGCAAAATACAATAAAGATACATCAGAATATAGCAATTCTGTTCCTGGATTTAGCTATCAAAAACTTTAAAATGACTGTCATTGATAAGTATTTTTAAAGGTGAAGGTAAAGGCCCTCCCGTTGATCAGGCTCTGCCGTGCGGGCGAGATACTCTCGGTAGCTTGCCGGGCTCTCCGAGAGGGGCAGAGGAATCGAACTCGGGTCGGCCATGTTGGCTGCGTGCAAGGCAAACGCCCTACCGCTGTGCTATTGCTCCAGACCTGATAAGTATTTTTAAAAATAGAAAATAAGTAGGAAATATACATTATCTCATCAGTAACTGGATTTTTTTTCCAAGAGAAGTGTATGAATATTCTGGTACTGAAAATACAAAAATTTAATATCTCACAGATGAACTTGACTACAATTAGATGTAGCAGAGAATAATTTTGAAGACTTAAAGGCTTGTTAATATAAAATACTCAACTGGAAGTGCAAAATTAGAATTGAATAAAAAATTACAGAAGACAGAATTGGAAAAATGTAACTCATGGGAGAAAATCTAACCATGTTGTTGGAATCTAGAAAGAGAATATGGCATAGTAACATTTGAATAATAGTAGATTATTCCCCAAGCTAAGTAGGCTATCAATCAATATAAATTCTGTGAAATTTAGAAAGAGCAATACCTGGAAATAGCATTAAAATATGATATAATGAAAAGTCTGCTTTAAAAAGTGAAGACAGAAAATATCTAAATTAGCTAGTATTGAAAAGATACATTGCCTCCTAATTAGGGCAGTATTATTCAACAGAAACAGTAAAAGCAGATGTAAATAAATGTATCCTTCAAATGCCGCGTTTGCGGGGTTGGGGTAGGGGAAGAAGCCAACCTAGAATTTTATATTCACCAAAATATTCTTCAAAAATTATGATAGTCAAAGGTTTCTGATTAAATCTTAATTTGTTGGCAATAACAGCACAGGAAGAAGAAATATGATACTGTTGGGAAAAATAGAATTATAGAAACCAAGAACATGGAAAGTAAATTGTGATATAAAATCAAGAACATGGAAAGAAAATTGTGATATAAAAATTGAAAGTAAAAATAATAGTTTGGGGGCTGGAGCAATTGCAGAGCGGGTAGGGCGTTTGCCTTGCACACGGCTAACTCGGGTTCGATTTCCAGCATCCCATATCGTCTCCTGAGCACCGCCAGGGGTAATTCCTGAGTGCAGAGCCAGGAGTAACCCCTGTGCATCGTCAGTTGTGACCCAAAAAGCCAAAAAACAAAATAATAATGATAGTTCAACACTGTGAGATTTTAAATTATATAGAATTTAAATATCTAACAATAACAAACAAGACTAAATGTCAATCTAATTATAATAGAAATGAATTAAATATAATTCATTTAATTATATGTCATGCGCATATTCAAGCTGTTATGGATAAATATATTTCTATTCAGGAGCGATAGCACAGCGGTAGGGCGTTTGCCTTGCACGCAGCCAACATGGCCGACCCGAGTTCAATTCCTCCGCCCCTCTTGGAGAGCCTGGCAAGCTACCGAGAGTATCTCGCCCACACGGCATAGCCTGGCAAGCCCCCTGTGACGTATTCGATATGCCAACCACAGTAACAACAAAGTCTCCAATGGAGACGTTACTGGGCCCGCTCGAGCAAATCGATGATCAACGGGAGGGCCTTTACTTACTTAATTACTTACATAAATCCCTAATTGACTTATGGGTTCAATAGACTTTTAAACAAAAGCGCTATAGGTAATTTTTTTCTTTTAATTTATAGAAAAGGTTAAAGGCCAACAATAGGTAAGACACCCCAGGGGAATAAGGTAGAGAAACTTGTTCTATCAAACATCAAGACTGTATTGGAAAGATGTAGTAATTAAGGTTCATTATTAGCAGAAATGGCACATCAGAATTATGTTCATAACTTCTGACAGTTCTCAGTGAACCATATGTACTTGGTTCGATGAGGATCGATCCAACCAAGATCCACATGCAAGGGAATTTTTAGTCCTTGTATCATATTGCCAAACCCATATTTTTAATGCATATATATTTAAATAGTAAATCACTAGGATTACATATATTTAATAGAAAAACTATGCACCATATAAATATAGTAAAGGAAATGATAAAATTAAAATTCATGGTAGGAGTTACTCCTAGAAGTATAACAATTGAGGCAGATTGTTTTAGTTAATGTAAAGGTTTAGCTATGTTTGACAGAAACACCAAACAGTGACATAAAGAAGATATATGCTTATTTCCAAATCTTTAAGTAAACTGAAAATATCTTAGGCATGATAATGCACTCAGATTGCCTAGCACTAGGCTCCTTCTGACTTTCCGTTTGATCTTTCGGCATTACCTGCATCTATGAGATTATGCTAGCTCAGCACTCAGAAACAGTTTCAGTAGCAGTGAATGGAGTAAATGGCCTCCTTAAGGCAATTACACACAAATTCATTCATGGTCTTTTGGCCAGATGATATCATTTTTAGATGCATGGAAGCCTGGCATATATACTAAGGTGAAAATCAGGAAGTCAAGGATGGGAAGTACAGAAAACGGGAGAAAAGTAGAAATCTCTGCCAGAGGTTCAGGCAGACAGGGTAGTAAAAGGCCTCAAAGGTATTGTTCTATTTCTTAAAGTAGGATGGTGAGTATAGGAGTTTTAAAAAATATTTTATATTTTCCCTATATATATTCCTTTATGCATTTGAATGTTATTGTAATGTTAAAAAATCAATGAATACTTTTCAGGCTTTATTTTGTTTGAATCTTATGCAGCTTATGGTATTGTTGATCACATCCTCTATACATTGCATTTTTTATTGGCAAGAGTCTCCTGGTTTTCTCTTATTTCTCCATCCATTCCTTTTCAGCCTCCTGGGCTTCACTTTCTCTGCAGGGGAAAAAAAAAGGCCTTTTCCTAGATGCCCCTCACTTGTCTCCATAATTATTTAGGATAGTTTCAAATTGGCTAATGGGTTTCCTGGATTTGGAAAATTGCAAGAGAAAACTAATTATATGGTAAATATCCAGATTTTATCACCTTTTATTCATAATGTTCTATCCATATAGGAAAAAGGGAGGTTAGCACTTTTTTTTGTAATTTTAAATAAATGTTCCTATACTTTCCTGAAAATTGTAAAAAGACAATTCTTTAGTTGGTTACAGTATCAGTGTATTTTAGAATGGTAATTAACAGCAATTATACCCAGAATGTATACATATAACAAGTACCACTAGAATAAATCTTGTAAATAATCCCCATTGTTAAAATCATGTAACCATGATTTGAGTTTCTGTCTTTTGTTTTTTAATAAAATTCATCAATTTACTTAACTACTCAGAATAATAATTGCATTTTTAGTATTCCTCATGGGTAAGGATGAGTGTGGCCTAAAGTCTTGGCCAATGTAATGTAAATAAAAGTTTTTAGCTAAATTTTAGCATATATTAATAGGGACCATTTCTTTTCTCCTGAAGAAACAGTCTCAAGCTAAAATATATTTGAAAAATTTTATTCATATGCTATTTTTTTTAAAGCTAAAAGTTAAAAATTCAGTTGGTCAGCATTTAAGCTTCAGCTGTACATTTAAGCTTCAACAGTATGGGGCTACAGGATAAAGCAAATTAAAGTACCTATCTTGAAGGAGATAGTGGTCAAGAAACAATCTAGTTGAATTGTTATGCCTCCCCAAAAGTCCAACATTAGCCTCGAAAGTCAATCTCAATAAAGTTCTCAAACCTCATGTGAGTTTATAAAAATTACACTATTTAAAAACAGCACCTGAAGGGCTCAAAAATTACAGACACTTGAAATATTAATAGGTAGAAAAAACAAAATCCTTTTTAATGTTACTATAGATGTAAGTGTGGGGAAGAGTATATGTGAATTCTAATGATTTAAAAATATTTTAAAATACTTTCCCAGTTTTATAAATAATTTGATTGCATACTAATAGGCATAAAATAATTTAATAATCCAGTATTTAAACAGTATGTGTATGCTAACATTGCAACATAACTTTTTTAAATTTAGTAACATGCTATTTTTTGAGATTCCTAGGTTCAGAGCATAACTACCTAAGAAACTCATAATGATGTAGTGCATGTTTTATATAATATTTTGATTTTTAATTAAGTTTTTATAAATGCAAACGTAAAAGACTCGTAGCATTTCACTATTTCCATGTAGATACTGTCTGGCATTAGAATTTAAGGTCGAGACTACAGTTTCATTTATTATGATGAATTTCAAGAAAAAAAAACAAGTCTTAATCTTAATGACTGTCATGTTTACACTTACTAACCTACTGTATAATCATTTTCTTTTGTCTCAATTCCTCAAACTCATTTTCCCTTACTGTGATTTCATAAGATAAGAGAATGCACTAGATTGCTCTTCATTTTGAAAATATGAAAAAGAACTAGTCAGATCTCACATTCATGGCCTTCAGTAGCTTCTCTTACTCAATGGCATTTTGAGACTCCTCTTCCAAGGTGATTTATTAAGCTAAGACCTCTTTCTGGTGCCATTCAGATATGTTTTATAACTTTTATCATCTCTGATTCAGTTTTCAAACAAAAATGAAGTCTTAGAAATTTTTTTCCTTTACAGACTTTGCCTTCTTCAAAAGAAACATTTTTAACTACTACTCAGATGCCTTGCCTGCAGTCAGCTTCAACATGGAGTAGCTGTGAGCACAATTCAAAGTCTGAACTATTAAGAGAACATGTATCAGAGTTAGATTCTTCTTTCCATTCTGTTCTGTCATTGCCATCAGGTAAGCCTCTTCAGAAAAATAAATTAATTAATCTTAGAAAACCCAAGTGACCCTAAGAATTTTCTATTTTGAAATCTAATCATATGTAAGTCTTATAGAATTTTTATTAATAGTGTGACTAGATATTATTTAACAGTTCTCATAGTAGAATTAATATAGTCACATGCTAAATCAACATTCAATCTTAGAAAAAATAAAATAAAATAAAATTTGTTGTCCCTTTACTTATTGATGCTATGATCAAAGGGTGCCCACATGATTGTGATGTGCTGGTGATCTTTCACGCTGTTGTAGCACTGAGGCTCTCCAACAGCAGGGCTGCCAGAATCAAGCTTGGCATATGTGCAGTGTCAGGAATCAAACTCAGGAGCTACGTTCACTGAGGATACTTTTGACTTTATTTTTCCAGATGTGCCTCTTCATTTTCATTTCGAAACATTGTTAAAAAAGACGGAAATAAAAGGAGATCTTACTGAAAATAAATTTATAGGCGACTGTATCATATCTCCATCACCTGGTATGTCATATACAAATCTTGCACCTTATATACTTTTACATCTTTCATATGTTTATTATTTTTGCTTTCTAAGGAAATAAAATTTAATAATGGAATTTAAATATATAGTCTTAATTTTTAGTATTCACTTTGAACAAATCACTACACAAATAAAAATTACATGGGAATAATCTTAAGAAATTAGGAATACATATTGAATGCAAATTATGAATTATTATTTATAAATTTAAATTTAAATGGGGAAATAGCTAGATGGAAAAATAAAGATATCAGTTGTTCCTGTTGAGTGAAATGTGTAAAGCAGTATAACTTGAAGTTCTATTAGAATTGGTTAACTAAGAAAAAAATCATAAAGCCAACTGTCAAAAAAAAAAAACAGGAAAATACAAAAGGAGTTGCTAGAAATGTATTAAACCTAGCCCAGAAACAGTATATGACTATATGGATCTTATTCCAGATAACATTTACTGTTTTGGGGGCCACACCCAGTGGTGCTCATAGTTCCTCATGGTGTGGTGCTTAGAGGATCATATTTAATATCAGGATCAAACTCCAGTTAGCTGCATGCAAGGAGTTTCCCATACACTGTACTATCTCTTTGGTTCCCTGATGACAGTAATCGAATAGTTTTCACCAAATAAATTTATAATGCAATTCTCGACAGTATTCTCCTTTTAGAACAAAGATTTTAAGTATGTATAACTCAGAAAATGTTGAATACCCACAAAAATTGCACTATCAACAAAGGTGATGTCAGATAACAAAATGTTACAATGTTCTAATCATTAAAATATTGTAGTTCTGATGGAAACCAGTTCAAAGTAACTAAAGAAGTCCAGAGACAAACCCATATGTTCACAATATGATAAATGTTGTATTTCCTGTATAAGGACTGCCTAGTCAATAACAGCTCTTACAAAGCATTCTTTATATGGCACTAGAAAGCTATTTTTAAGTGCCTTGTTTTACATCTGAGTTGTTTGCTTTGTTTTGTTTTGTTTTTTTCTCTTGATAATCTTTCCACAAATCCAAGTAGTGTGATTCAGAATCCACACTTTAAATAACTAGTCTTCATCTGGGATCAGTGGCAGTTAGCAATAACTTTTTGAGGCAAAGGAAAAAAACTCAAAGGGCTGGATCCCATAAATTACACTGTTTAATCCTCGGAACCACATGTGTCCCCATCCTATCTTAGTACCAGCCTAAGTGGTCCTGGAACATTGCTGCGCCTAAGCACTGTTAGGACCTGTTAGGTCCACAACACTAGACCAAATGTCACTGGAAAAGACTCTCAGGACACTGCTGGAGGCTCACCTCCATCCCCCAAACTTCTTTTGGGAAAAAAATCTCTAATTTGTATAGCAAATTTATGATGGACAAAGACTAAAATACATTTCAGGTGAACTTAAATGCTTAAAATATTAAAGTTTAAAATAATTCCTTATGAGCCAGAGATATTTTGCAGAGGGTAAGAGGCTTGCCTGGACCACAGCTCACCTGGACTCAATCTCTGGCATCCCACATGGTTCTCCAAGCTCACCAGGGGTGATTTCTGAATGCAGATTTAGGAATACTTATGCTCAGACCGGGAGTACTAGTGCTTAGAACCCCCGAGTACTGCCAAGTATGGCCCCAAACCCAACATATTTTAGAAAAAAATAGTTCTATTAAAAGAACTTTTAAAAACTCACTTGTGTTAAATAAAATATTAAAAATAATAAATGACAGTGCTTACATGCCTAAGTGATAAATGTTTACTCTATTTTCAGATTACAGATGTTTAAACATAAAAAGTAACCAATTATGTGCTAAAAATAAGATCTAGGATATTCCAAATAACATCAAGAATTGACGGACATCTTAAGAAATGTTATAAAATGCTTTACAGTGCTTTAAACTATTTTGTTTTAAATTTTAATTTATGCATGGTAGTTTACAAAACGGTTACTGGTATGGTAGGGTTTCCTGCATAAAACATTCCAATACAGCATCCTCCACCACTGTCTGTGTCACCTCCCCAAACCCTAAACTTTCCACTAAAGACTATTTCTCAGTCTCTGTTGCCTTTGGACATATGTTTAAACTAGTTTTACATAATCTTGAGATAAACACCTACTTGTGGGTCTGGAGGTAAGGTGCTTGCCTTTCACACAGCTGGCCTGTATTTAATCTCTAGCACCCTACAGTAAGCCCTGAGCAGTAATCCAAAAAACCTACTTTTGTACTTGCTCAATATAAATGTTTATTAAACCGTTAACTCTAATTGACCCAATCTATTTTCAAGTTTGCTTTTAAATATTAAAGCAATCTTACATACAAGATATTATCATCTTAACATCATATGTGATAAAGAGACATTGTAAACATGAACAGCTCAGAGACAAGACTATCAGCAGTGGAATATGCAGCTTTTAAAATTTTCATAAGCAGCTGCAGTGATAGTGCAGGAGATACGGCACTTGTTTGGCATGCAGCCAACCCAGGTTCAGTCCCCAGCACCACATATGCTCCTCTGAGTCCGACAGAAGTAATCCCAGCAAGAGTGCAGAGACGAGAGTAAGCCCTGAGCACAACCAGGCACGGGGGGAAAAAACAGTTTCTTAAAAGTTATGTAAGAATGAAAACACTAGAAAATACAGGACAAAAGTGTTTTCTTTATAGGGCATAATTATAACCTTAAAAGTGTTTACTCTTATATCACACCCATGTTTTTGAATGATCAGAAAATTTTGAACAAGATGTGAACATTAATTAATTATTGCTTTTGTAAGGTTAATATATATGTAGTTATACTGTCAGATTCAAGATGATAGATTTCCTGAGATTTGCTTTAGAAAACTTTGGCAAAACATATTTGTGGGGAAAGATGAGAAAAGATTGGCTGAGTTCATAATGCATAACTACTGATGTTCAATTACAGTTACTGGAATTACTGTATTCTCTATTTGTTCTTATTAAAAACTGTCCACAGAAAAGTTTACAGGAAAAAAAGAATGAATCACTAAGAAAAAAGAACAATTATTTATGCTTAGGGAGGCAAGAACAGGAAAAGATAGGTTATATAACATCCTTGTTCATCTATTTCTACACCCTGAAATTTATACTAAGATTTTAAAATTATTTTAAATGTTGGTACCAGAGAATAGAACACGGTGTTAAAGCACCGCCTTTCATACAGCTGATTCTTCTCATATAAGTACTAACCAGGCCAGACTCTGCTTAGTTTCCAAGATCAGATGAGATTGGGAGCGGTCCGGGTGATAATGCCATACTGAATACAGCTGATTCTAGCCTGATCCCTGACACCATATATCCCTAAGCATTACAGGAAGTGATCCTTGAACACATTACCCAGTAGTAAGCCTGGAGCACTACCCACTATGACCCATAAACCAAGGAGCACTACCCACTATGACCATAAACCAAGATAAACAAAGTTTGAAACAGTTGAAGAAGATTATGGGTGTCCATAATATAAATAATTCAATGACTATAACAGCTAGCTCCCAACATCTAGAGCATAGTTAAAATGCATACTGTCTCTAACCAAAGACCTGGAGAAAACTCAAGAGTTTCAGATAAAACACAATTGTCTACATATACAAATAAAAATAACATTTAGTGTATCACTAAAAGGGACTATAAAAAGTTAAATATGCTAATTAGTGAGATTATGTAGTTATATTTTCCAGTGTTCCCCAATTTTTCTGACTTTAAAAAATGACATGCAAATGTCTCAGGCACAAAATAGTAATTATCAATGTAAGTCAACAGAAATTAAAGACAATTGTGTTGAATGATATAGTTGCTTTAGGCAAATCAACATTTTATTTTGTATTCCAGTCTAATCCTCATCTTAACCCACATCAGCACTCCAAACTTAAGTTAAAGTATTAAATTTTACTGAGTGTCTTTAAAATAGCTGATCTATTCAGTTTTTTATTGTTAGAGATTACTGTGTAATTAAGTATAATTTGAATTTCACCTTTATTGGACACGTGTCCTGTGCTAGAAATGGGGCAAAAGATAAAACTATTATGGGCAAATGTGGAAAAAAAATACTAAGAACATGTGACTGACCAAACGACTGAAAGATCAAGACATGGATTTTTTGTGCAGTGCAGAAACTCTTTCATTTGATGTCGCATATATTTTTCATTCTGTCACCTTTGCCAGTGGCACTGTATCATTGAAGGCACCTTAGAGGTCCAAATCTTGAAGCATTCTGCCTTTATTTTCCTCCGTTTATTTTATAGAAGGGGCTGGAGCGATAGCACAGCAGTAGAGCATTTGCCTTGCACGCGGCCAAAACGGCCAACCCAAGTTTGATTCCTCCGCCCCTCTTGGAGAGCCTGGCAAGCTACCAAGAGTATCTCATCCACATGGCAAAGCCTGGCAAGCTTCCTGTGATGCCAAACACAGTAACAACAAGTTTCACAATGTTACTTGGCCGGCTTGAGCAAATCGATGAACAATGGGAGGACAGTGCAGTGCTATTTTAGAGATCTTGGTCTGATCTCACGGTGTTTGATTCACTGTGACTTTTGTGTAAGATGTGAGGTACAGCTCCAATTTTGTTCATGTGGTGACCCAGTTTTGTCATCACCATTTGAAGAGGCTCTTTACTCCATTTCATGCTCTCAGCACCTTTGCCAAAAATTAGCTGACCATATATGTGGCGGTTTGTCCTTAGATACTCTGTTCTGACCCATTGTTCAGAATCTGTCCTTATTCCAATATTGTGCTGTTTTGAGCACTATGGTTCTATAGCATAGTTTCAAGTTAGATTTATATGTGATATTTAGAGTAATTGAATGAGGAAATGCAATGGTTTAAAATGGGGATGCTAAATTACACTTGGCCCCAGAATATAGGGAGGGGAAGGAAAAGTAGAGTGAAGAGAAGAAAGAGATGAGAAGAAATGGGGGCAGGGGCCAGGGGGATTCAGGTACATCGGTGGTATTAAGGAATGATGGAGCTAAATACCCAAGGCAAAGTCAACACTAAAATCACAAAACTCAAACTTTAATACCAAACTTAAAAGATGCCTGTCAAGTTGGCCGGCAGGGGAAGTGGTAGGAAAGGGAACCTGGGAACACTGGGTTAGGGAAGTTGACGTTGTTGATGGGATGAGTGATGGAGCATTGTATGTCAAAAACCCAACTATGAATAACTTTGTAACATACAGTGCTTTAATAAAGTTTTTCTGGAGGGGAAGTGATGGGGAAAAGGCAAAGATGATGTTTTAAACATTTAATTGAAACTTAAAAGGGTGAGATTCTGGATTTCTAACAAAACCCCAAGGTTAATAAAATGTTGGCACTTATTGAATAACTTATTTAAAAATGGAAAGTAACACTATTTGTCATGGAGATATGAAACCATTAACCATCTAAATATTACAAAGAGCCTTGTCTTATAGGATCAGTTATGTGGAGCTAACTAGACAGATTTTTTTTGTGTGTGTGTGCTTTGCCACATAGCTTCGATTTATCCCCTACTGTCTGTTGGTGTGTTTTTGTTTTGTGGCCACAGCCAGAAGTGCTCAGAGATCATTCCTGGCAGGGAACTATGTGGTGTGCCAGGGATTGAGCCCGAGTCAGCCACATGCAAGTGCCCTACCCACTGTACTCTCTCTAGCCCCTTTTAGTTAAACTTTTACAGCACTACTTTCAAGGAAGTAGGGAAAATCGAAACTAGTGTGTTGAAGAATGAGCTAGTAATTAATTTCCAATAGTGAAGATTGGACAAAAACAATTTAAGGGCCTATACTCATCAGAATATTGTTTTGAATGACAAGAACATGTACTCATATTTAAAATCTATCATTTTTCTAAGAACTCTTTATTGTCTCTTACTCATTAACTTTTCTAAACACTTCTTTGCTATCACTCACTCATTTTATTATTTTTTTAAAGTGTCAACAACACCAGGGTTGGACCCATGCCTGGTTTTGTTTATATTGTAATAGTCAAAACAGTCATACATTTCCTAGTATTATAATTGCTCACTACACCTTACAAGACACAAAGAGTAAGGCCAAATGTACATGTAAATTTAGAGGTTGTGGATTTCAGAATAGTGAACTGTCTGGAATTTTTCAAAATTCCAGAACTAATTCCATTAAAATAAGTATGGGTGAAACCAGAGATACTACAGGGGTTAAGATTCTTGCACAGAGCACATGGCCAACATTAGTCAATCCTCAGCACCTCAAGCAGTCGTCTGAGTACAGCAAGATTCCTTAGCAGAGCCAGGAATAAGCCCATAGCACCACTAGGTGTGGTTCTACCTGCAACTCAACTAAACAATGTACACTCCTGGACCTTACAGTGTGGTGGGCAAGACCCAACTCATAATTCTAGTTTTTTGTTTTGTTTTTGGGACACACCGGGCAGTGCTCAGACTTACTCCTGGTGGTACTTAGGGCCATATGGGATGCAGAGACTAGAACCCTGGTTGGCAACATCAAGACAGGCACCCCACCCACCGTTACTACAGCTCCAGCCCTGCAGCTTTAGAAATGTATCAGTCATCTTGTTTTCTATTATCTTTCTCCATATTCCTTTTTAAGGGAATGAGATATTGTAGGACCATACTGTTTTATTTCCCTAGTGACCATTATTTTCCTTCATCTAGTTTTGTCTTTCTCATCCCTTTTTTGGCAGTCTTTTAGGATGTCCTCGTTGTTGAGAATTATTGCCCCTCAAGTGAATTCTTGACACATTTTGTTTTTCCTTATTACTCCAATTTAATCCTTTACTTTTGTGTTTTTCCATCACCCTGCTTAAGTTGTGTAATTCCTCATCCAACTCCTTCATTTTAAGCATTGTCCACTCCATTATTCAGCTCAATGAAGGATTTTCTTCTTAAAACAATTACTCAAGCTCTTGTGGTATGTTTTGTTTCCCTTAGCAATAGTTTTACAACCTATTTAACCTATATTGCTAGTAATTTCTTGGGACATTCTTCCATTTGTTGTTTTTATGTTTGCTTTCTGGTGTTGATAATTCAGATTTTGAGAGCCTTGACTGCAAAATTCCTGTTATTCACTGTTAAAACATTTCTGTCACTGCCACTTGGGGAGTTCTTTTCATGGAAGGAATAGAGATTTGCTATTCGCAGTCACTTGGGGATAGGACAAAGGATGATTCAGAGTGGGGAACATGGGTTGAAAAATTACCCACCTATTTCATGTCAGAAGGTTCTAAGACTTTATTTTGCTAAAGTAGATAATCACATCTTTGTGTAGCCTGGCCAATATATGGACAGGTGAAGTCATCTTCAACCACTGGCTACAGATCATTGTTCTGCTTTGTTTCCCTTTCCTCCAGGTGCAGGGCATCTTTAGTGTTGGACTCCTGTCCTTCTGTGTCAGATTTGTTCTTAAGTGAAATTTCACATGACATTAACTCTTTTAGAGAATCCTTACACATTCTACACTATTTACAAATTCCTTTTTTACTTACTAATGTGTATATGTGCAGATCTTTGCCTTTATCTTTATATTAAATTTCTATTATTTTTAGGGTGGTTTGCCATTTTGAAATTAATCTCAGTCACTGGTGTTAAACCATGCTTTCTTTTTCAATGTCGGTAAGAATCTTGCATTTCAGTCTAGATACTTCTTTTTCTGTTCCTTTCTGTATCTCCAAGCCCTTCAAAAAAGAAGCCAAGTAGATTATTAATACTATTGAAAATCCAGGTTTAGTGCAATAACAGTGTAATTAAAATACTTAATATATGTCAGCTATCCTTCCAATGACTATTACAGCAATTAACTCATTTTATACTCACAATCTCAGGATAATTGTTATTATCTTTATTCTATAGAATTAAGCCACAGAAATATTAAGTGACTTAAACTTTTTTTTGTTTTGTTTTTGGGTCACACCTGGCGATGCACAGTGGTTATTCCTGGCTCATGCACTCAGGAATTACTCCTGGCAGTGCTTGGGGGACCATAGGGATGCCGGGAATCGAACCTGAGTCTACCGCGTGGAAAGCAAATGCCTTATCTGCTGTGCTGTCACTCCAGCCCCTAAGTGACTTAAACTTTTAAAAATTAAATTAACAGTGCTCTGTACAAATCAGTGGTAAAAAGAAATCTTAGTTTTGCTCCTAAAGAGCTCCTAATCTGTTGATCTGTTGTATTATTTGGTCTTGAATTATTTCCAAATAGAAGGGTGAGCAGGAACTACCCAAAGATCATCACTCAAGGCAATATATATAAACTAAACTTCTGAGAACAGATTGCTTTTCCTTTACATTTTTTTTCAAATACGAAAACAAAAAAAGGATATTGGGCCCTTCCTGAGCCTGGTTTAAACCAGCATTTCTCAACTTGGGGCCACATGACCCTCACACCCAGGATATTACCAGGGCCACACGTGACAATTACAAACAGGGGTGCCATAGCACAGGATATGAATTATAAATGGTTGGACAGGAAAGGAAACAAGGTCAGAAGGGACGACAGTCAGTCAGAAAAAGGTTAAGGATCGCTAGTTTTAAAGGATTTTCATCTGGATATTTTCTATTAAAGAGTCCTTCACTTTGTACTATTATGTGAAATTCTAAACTGGTATATTAAAAGTCTACAATGTTGGGAGTAAAAATAAACATTCGCTACACTTGTTAATTAAAACTTTACATTCTCTTTCTACCTGTTTTAGTACATAATACTTCTTTGAATCAGTGGAGAAATGGGTATTTTCCTACATGTAAATCTCAAATAAAATCAGAATCTTCTGCACAGATGTTACAAGGAAGAAAGAAAAGACATTTGAGTGAAACAGCATTAGGTAGGTTTAAATGAGAATATGAGAACTAGTATTTTAAAAAATTAATCTCTGAAGAACGTGTTTCATAGGAACTTACAATTGAGAACATTCACTCATTACACAAAATACCCATGGTTTAATGAACATTAAAACAGCATTTTTGTCTAGTCAGTTCACAATTACTTTGATCTGAGCACCTATTCCTTCCAATGTTTTCTGATTAGTAACCTTCTGTTACAAACGGTCCTCATGGACAGGACACAATACTCCAAGGTTGTGTTCTGGACAAGGTTGCTTCACTGAAATATTTAACATTTTGAATTGGATAAAGATGTCAAGGTTCTAGAAAATGAAAATAAACATGGCAAAACTGTGGGCAAGACTTCCCCCACCCCTTTCCTTCACTTTTAATAATTTATTTTTAGTAATTTAAAAGTTCTCCAAACAGATAAGGAACATTAATTAGGAAAATAATTCTAATGCTCATTAGTTATGGATCATGTACAATATTCTTAATGGTTCTCCCCATGCAGGAGAAAGAACTAGATTTGAAGAATTTGCTTTTCAGCGCACTGAATCAGGATCCCATAACAATGTTACTGCTGTTACTAATGTGAATGTTATGCCAAGATCCCAGACTTCATCATCACAAGTAGGTTTTTTGTATACCATACTCTAAAACTTCTTTGTAAATGTTTAAAGCTAATCCCAGGGACGGGGGAGGGGGGAGTCACAGAGTATAATCTATAACTGCATCATTTACTACTGTATTGGCATATTAATAACTTTATCTTATTAAGAGGCAATGAATTTGATTAAACATTTTTACTAAGAAGAACTGTTTATTAATTCTTGGTTATGACTTTTGTCCAAGCCTGCTTGGATTGGGACTGGGCCTCCTCCACCCATATCCCCCATCTTCCAGTAGCTAGGCGTTACACCCACCAACTTCCCCGGGTGCTCTGTAATCCCATCAACGGCCAAGACCCAGAGACTATAAAACCAAGCTCTTACTGTCTAGTTCTCACTCTCGGAGAACTTGGCAGGCTACCGAGAGTATCCTGCCCGCACAGCAGCATCTGGCAAGCTCCCCATGGTGTATTCGATATGCCAAAACCCACTAACAATGATGGGTCTCATTCCCCTGACCCTGAAAGAGCCTCCAATGTGGCACTTTCTAAAGTCTCAGAGCTAGGATGAATGGAGACATTACTGGTGCCTGCTTGAGGAAATCGATGAACAGGATGACAGTGATAGAGTGATGTAACTTTTCTAATTAGTGTTAAAAAATTTAAGCTTCCTTACTCCTTAACATGAAGCTAAATATAATCTTGCTAATAAGAAGTTACCACCTGTGTTCTTGTTTTGGATTTTGTTATTGTGTTTTTCTTGTTTTGGTTTTTATTATCTAGCCAAAAAATATAGGTCAAAGATGGGAGAATTTCCAAAGTACAGCAAAGAATAGGAATACATGTAATAGTAATATTTACTGAATGGTTAGCCAGTTAATAACCTTTACTAATAAAAATAAGTCTTTTAAATGATAATTACACTTAAATATAATGTAACTTGTAGTAATTTATCTGAAAATTTTTACATTTTAAAGTATTTACATTTTTGATGTCTTATAAACAGGCTTGTATAGAAGATAAATATATACACAAATGTACATTGCATAGGTGCTCAAAGATATCACATTAGTTCACAGAAGTTATGTTTCTTAATTGCTTTTATTATATCGGGCATACAGTTTTAACAGGTGCACAGTCAACTTTTTGTAACTCAGTATCATGTAACTAGATACTTCTATAAAATTACTCTAATTCTATTTTTGCAGAGTACTGCACGACGGAGATTAAGAAGTGAAAGCTCTTACGACATAGACAATATTGTCATTCCCATGTCATTAGTGGCCCCAGCTAAACTAGAGAAACTTCAATATAAAGAAATACTTACTCCAAGGTATGCATCCTTACATCTTTTCATTTTTTCCTATAATTTTCTGAATAAAAAAATTTCATAATGAAGCTGAAATTTTAATTAACATAAAGAATATGTTCCTCATTCCTTCCGTTTAATAAACTGAAGAGAAACTGGTGAAGCTTTTTCTTTTTTTGCCCCCCCCAATTTTTATATTACTCATGCTGAAAAAATGTCTTTTTTTAAGCATACTTTAGGATTGTAAATTACAGTAAGAAATAATCCCTAATATTATGAAAAAATTGTTTAAAAAATTTAAAGTAAGTAACTGCATTTACATGGGGTAGTCAAACTTCTGGGACAATAGAATAGTGTTCAGTCAAGTAAGCAATATACACATTAACTAAAAAGATGACTGTTAAGAAAAAACAAAGGTGTGTACCTTTGTGTAAAAACTGGCTGGTCAGAGATTGAGATTTTGTGGAGAAAAATGAAGTTATGACTACAAAAATGTCACAATCAGACTATGGAGATCTTTGAATATCATAATCACCTGCTTTCTGGCAGTGATTAAAACACTTTAAGAAAATGATAGAGCTATGGATTGAAAACATAAGCAAGATGTGTGTGGGTGATAATAGTAACTCCTCCCCTTTCCTACTCTAGGTAATTTCGTAGTTCATTTATTCATCATTACTTTGTGATATACTTGTGAAACACTGAGATAATTTCTAGAGAATTTGTTGATATATTTTAGGAAAGGAACAACATTTATGGTTATGATGTCCTGCATCAATAGTGTTTTTCAACTTGTAGTGTAAGGTTGGAGCTGGCTGGGTTAGTTAGATGTTTACAGAAGAAATGAAATCTGCTATCTGTTAAACCCAATAAGGCAACAGTCAGTCTTCTCATAAAGTAGTTGACAAATGCCAACTAGTCTTTTTTTAAAGACTTTTTTTAAAGCTGTACCAGCTTATCAGTATACTACAAATAATTTAAAAGAACTAAATTCTTAGGAATAAAATACTCTATGAAGAAGATAATATTCATTTTAACACGGGCAAAGGTATCATTGTCCTTGTCCTTTTCTCATATAAAGAGAAAGTATTGTAATATTTAAGTATTTGAATTTTAATAACTATTTGAGTAATTATCTGGATGCCTAAAGGAAGGAGACTACAGCTGCATTAGTTGTACTTAGATAATAAAAACTGTTGGGGCCTGAGCAATAGTATATCAAGTAGGGCACCTACCTTATATGCTGCTAACCTGGGTTCAATTCCCAGTACCCCATATGGTCCCCCCACAAACCCATCATCAATGATCCCTGAGCACAGAGCCAAGACAAAGCCCTGAGCACTGCTGAGTGTAGCACGAAAACAAAATAACTGAAACTTCTAAGTTTAGGTAATATGTTAATAAAAAACTGTTTGAAATTGATTTTCCCCCCACAGTTGGAGGATGGTTGTTCTTCAGCCTTTGGATAAATATAATTGTGGTGAAGAAGAGGTGAGTTGCCTTTCACATAAGGGCTAAATGCATATGATATATTATGAAGGTTGATTAATTTGATAGGTGAGGGACTAAAGGAAAACTGAAGTCCCTTAACGGTCTCATTTTTTTCCTTCTTCAAAAAAAAGTTCTTCATTAAGATTATTATTGAAAATAGAAAAATGAGTTTGTGTACCTTTGACAGCTAAATCAATGATAAGATACGGCATAAAGTAAAACATGACATTTGTTTCAGCTGAAATAGAGTTGATTATGAAATGTATTTTCACTTGGGATTAGTTTTTTATAAGATGTAGTTATTAATATTCAAGATTATAAGGCCATATACTTAAAATTGGGAGAACATACTGCTTTTGAATTTGAAAAAATAGAACTTTAGGATAATTTTTGTAACTAGTATAGTTTCTACAGTAAAATGTTTGTAGGACGTATAGCCTCACACAATTTCAAATCAGGCTATGTACCAAAATTAATTACAAAAAAGATCATAATAAATTCACAGGAAAGGAATTTGTAAACCTGTAATGAGTAAACACCACATTTATACAAGAACAACTACAGGGGAAAATGCCGTATCTCATTCCAAATTAATAATACATAAACAGTATTGTGTACAAGATACTTTGTTTCTATGACAATTTTTCACTAAATACCTACTGTTACTTTATTTTAATATCCTTTCTTATAATGCACTCTACCTAGTTCAGAATGATTTTCTTTAGAAAATCCAAACTTTTAAAACACAACAACTAAAATTTTAGAAGTCATTTGTTAAACTGACTATGGATATTTCATCATAGATGATGCATTTTATAATACCATATGTTCTACAATAATGCACTTTACAATAGGTAACTAGTATAAATTTCTGAGTAAACCACCATTTAAGAATATTCTATGCAAAGGACAAGGGAGAAGGGTCTAAGAGCTAAAGTCACAGCTACTGCAAGTGGGAAGGAAAAGGTTTGATTCCTGGACCATCCATTACCACAGGGAATAGAATAAAATTTTAAAATGAAGAATTTTATCTAAATAAAAAGCACCATGACTCTGTAATCTAGGGTTAGATTTATAAGTTTGGTGTTAGAGTTAGTTTTGTAATCTAGGTATGTTTTTGAACATGACCAAGGAAAAGTTTTTGAATGTTTAATCCTCCTTTAAGAATTAGAACTCAGATCAGAATTTATACCCTCTTGAATTACAGAACATTTATTTTAGAGTTCTCTTACAGTTTTCGCTCAATGTGTGTCTGTTGGAAACTTGTCAGGAATTCAAAATGTTTCTAATAAAAACAAAACATTAATTCTAATTCTAGGTAGAGGATCTTTCTGATGAAGCCTTCTTCCTAAGACACAAAAAATATGAAGAAAGAGAACAAGCCAGATGGTCACTCTGGGAGCAAAGCAAGTGGCATAGAAGAAACAGCAGGCAGGTGTTATAAAACCAATCCCCAAATCATGGAATCTATGCAGAATCAACAGAAATTCTGCATGAATGCAGCCACTAACGAACATTATCAGCTATTTGTGCAATCAAAGTGAAAATGGGCTTACATTCAAAATATACTTAATTGCATAATGATGAAATAAAATGTTTTATTATATTCATTGTCAGTCTTGGAAATAGATTTAAGTCAGCAAATAATATGGCAACTCATCCTAAAGTAGGCTATCTCAAATTATAGCATTGAACTTTGGTGCAACTAAAGTTTAGAATATATGTAATCTATTTTATTATTCTGGTTTTTTGTTATTTTTGCTGTTTTTGTCCATACCCAGCTCACTGGTCTGCAGTTAGGAATCACTCCTGGCACAGCTTTGACCTATGTGGTACATGGATAAAAATCAGATTGACCCCATGCAAAGCAAGGACCTAACTTGCTGTACTATCCATTCCTGTGTAATCTATTTTACAGAACGGCTTCAAAACAGGTTAAAAAAAAATCTCCCAAAACCTGTTCATTTGAAAGAGAGTAATATAAAATACTCTGCACACTAGGAGGAAATACTTTGACTTTGGGGGAGAAAAAAATACATTTTTTAACAAAAATACTTTAAATAAGAGAAAAATCAATGTTTTATTTACATTGGACCTTTTAAAAATATTCATGAATTATTTTTTGGTTTTGGGGCCTCCATGTAGTGTTCAGCACTCAGGGATCACTCCTGATGGGCATAAGGGGCAATAAGGGGTACCAGGAACCAAACTTGGGTCTTAGCTGCTGTACTATCTCTCTGTCCCCGATAGCTGACTTTTTAATTTTAATTAATATCATCTATTTTACTATTATAAAAGAAAATATGTGAAATACTTAGATGTAAGCAATTCAAATATTCTGAATTTTTTAGGTGTAAAAACCTGGGAACTTTCTTTGTTGACATTTTTAATGCTGTCCAAACTCAAAACAGATACGACAAACTCTGGCACATCATTTAGTGAGGGGCCACTGCTCAATTAGTATTGTCAAAATTCATTTCTGTTTAGTAAGAACTAGACTTGAGATTTATTTTATCTCAATGATTATACAAACATAATTAAGATTCATTTCTCATCTACATTCCAGAAATGTATCTTACCAGAATCAACAAGGAAGATTCTGGGCACTCTAACTCAGAAAGATTAAGGGAGGGGCCAGAGAGACAGTACAGTGGGCAAGATACTGTACTACATTGATGTCTACATTCTTCTACATTGATGACTCAGGATTAATCCCCAGCATCCCGAACGGTCCCCCAAGCACCCAGGAGTAATTCCTGAGTGCAGAACCAGGAGTAACCTGGGTGTGGCCCCACTGCCCCACCACCTGCCACCTACCCCCCCCAATACCATTAAGAGTTAAACATTTTTCTTATTTTCTGGGGAAAAATAAAATCCAGAAACCAGTTTGGCAAAAATATAATTGGCAAAAGATTCATAAAGTACTATTTAAGAGTCTGGGATAAAATAATAGAATAGTATCAGGAAGATGAACAGGTGAATTTTTTAAAGTTTTTGGGCAAACCTATTTAAATAAAAGCTAATTTAAATAAAAATAAACTCGCTAAGGTATATAACTTTATAGCCTGACTTGTTCTTAAATCTCAAGACTTCAATAAATATTTTCTTAATTTTCTTATTAGAGCTTACAGTAAAAATATTGAAGGACAAGATTTGTTTGTGAAAGAATACCCAAATGACTTCAGTAATAATCAACATTGTACTGCTGAAAGCCCTGCTGAATTGCCTTCAGAGAGCCATGACCTGGGTGTAGATGGCTTACCTTGTTTAACTGAAAGCCAAGAAATCAAAGTAAGTATTACAGTCCTGTATGGAACAATGAGTAAGACTCAAAGTATCTATGGCTTCTAGTTACATTATTAACTACAAACATTTTATCATTTGATGTAACACACCAGGACTTAATTCCACCTACTCACTTATCTGTGGAGTCCACTGAAGATTCTCAGAAGCCCATCATGAAGCAATGTATGACTGCATTGGCATTAAAACAGAAAGATCATTGGGACAGAGTCCACATAAATTCACTGCACATACAGAGAATTTATGACAAAGATGTCAAGAGTATACAATGGGGAAAGGAAAGGGTCTTTCATAAATGGTGCTGGGAAAACTAAATACATGTAAAAGAATGAAACTGGGCAAAAAAAATGAAATTTTATAGCAAACACACAATCAGTAATTAAAAATCCATCAAAAACTGCGACAAGGATTTGACAGTAAGCTCCTATTTTTAAGACATTTTTCTCAAAAATAATACTTCTGAGCCAAGCAATATTACAACAGGTAGGTCATTTGCCTTGAACACAGCTAACCTGACATCCCCCTGGTCCCCTGAGCAACAACAGAAGTAATTCCTGAGTGCAGAGACAGGAGTAACCCTTGAGTATTGTCAGATGTTATTATTTTTGGCCCCAAAACCAAAAATAATAAAAATAATACTCCCATTGTTTTTTTGGTTGCTTTGTGCCATAGTCATGCCTGGCTCAAGGCTTATTTCTGGCTTTCTACTCATTGATCAATTCTGGAGGTGCTAGGTAGCACCGTAGGTAGTGCCAGGAACTGAACCAGGGTTGACAACACGCAAGGCAAATGCCTTATCTGCTGTATTCTTAGAACACTTAAAAATAATGCTTTAAAAGTATCTAACTTGGAGCTGGAGAGAGAGTATAGCATGCAGGGTGCTTGCTTCGTATGCTACCAACTTGAATTCAATCCCTGGTTTGTCATAGGTCCCCTAAATCCACCAGGAGTGATAACTAAGCACAGGTGAGTATGTCCCCAAAACAAACAAAAAAACCCCAAGAAAACCAAGATATCTAACTGAAGGCATGAGTTTACATAAAATTCTAAAGTATCTGCACAACAAAAGAAATGAAAAACCAAACAAAAGCAATCTACTTTTAAATGGAAGAAGATATTCTTAAATTGTTTAAGAGATTAAGGGATTAATACCCCAATTATGTAAACTTTAACAAAAACAATCTGATTTAATAAGGGCAAAGCTAAATAGACATTTTTTCAGAAGACATGTAGAAGACATATTTTCAACAACAATCATGTGAGAGCTAACCACTAGATCAATGCAAGTTAAAATCACAATATATACACAACCACCAAAAAGTAAAATTATGCCAGTTTTCAATGCTAGGGATGGAGGACCCTAAGGGAATTATGTTAAGTAAAATAAATCTCAGATAAAGATAAATGCAGGATTTCATTTATACGTAGAATCTAAAATTAAAACCGTCTCTCAGATACAGAGAACTGATTGGTTTTGCCAGAGGGGTTAAGTAAAATGGGTGAACACAATCAGAAAATACAAATTTTCTGTTACAAAATCAATCATGAAGATGTAATATAGGGACAAAAGGTAAAAGCAATACTGCAATTTGAGAAATTTCAAAAGATAGATGGAAAATACTCACTATGATGATCACACTGCATACAAATATCAGAGCATTATGTTGCACATCTGAAACTAATATCATATTCTATGCTAATTATACTTCAACCAAAAAAAGCACTAATTCCCAGCAATCCCTAAACAAATGACTGTCTTTATTTTAATTCGGTATTTAGGCTTAAATGAAAATTTGTACTTTTATGTACTAAAGAATTAAATAGTAATTACACCATAAAATTGACATTTACAGATTATACATTTAAACAAATTAGCTGAAACTTAATCAAAAACATTTTTTCTTTCAGTCTTTGTGGTGGGAACGACGGGCTTTTCCACTGAAGGATGAAGACACAGATACCTTATGCCAAGATGAAAAATATAATCAGACTGGAAGATCTAGCCCAGTTTTACCTGGTGAAGTTTTCTGTACCAGTGCATCAGAGAATAGTCACCATCCCAAAAGGCATGCAGATGGCATGGACTACAAAACCTTTGGTCTGGGACTTATTCAAGTTAAAAAAAACAGGTGACAGGGATCAGATTAAGAAAATTATGTAACCGAATGGAAAATAGGCGAGGAGGAAAAATCCCTGTTCTCCATCCCCACCTTCCGCCCTTCAGTCACAATTCCAGAATAAGAGCATGTATGCATGTATTTATATTTTATGCTGTTATGAAACAGGCAAGGTATTTCTTTTTCCTTCTTGAACAGGGGTAAGTAGCTTTTCACCTACAGACATGTGCTAGCCATTTGTATTTATGATACAAATCACAAGCACCAAAAATTAACTGCTGCAGTTTGATGTCAAATCTCATTACTGGATAAATACATTTAAAAAGACTTAACACCCACACATACATTCACATACACACATTATCTGTACACCAAATAACAGCTCCTCTATATTACTATACACACAGTAATTCATTAAAATTGCCTCAAATATATAAATATACAAGTGTGTATAAAGTATACATACATGTGTACACACACAAATACGTAGATTTTTTTTTAAATAAAAACACTGGCAGTGACCACTCCACTTGAAAATGCATGTATGAAGTACCCCAAGAAATGAAAACTGCAGTATAAAATAAAGCAAACAGGTTTCTAATGATAATGCACATATAAAAGTCTTGACTGTGGAGAGAAAAAAATATTTTAAATCATACTTAACAGCAGAAGCTATTTATGCAAATTTGTATACCAGATAATACAGTATTTCTTTATTTGAAATCAGTGAAATCTGCTGGACTTAAACACAGGTTTATTTACTATTCATGCCCAATAGAGTAAGACAAGCAAAGGGGTGTTAAATACTGATGTAGTTAAAAGCTATCAGTTATTGAAAACTAGGAGTTTCATCTGTTTTATGTATCATAAAAAAAAAAGGAACAACTTAAAAAACTTAAAAAGAGTCACAAACAGTAAAGTCCTGTAAGTATAAAAACGTTATATTTGTAGTTACTTTGGTCATTCCTTACCATAAGTTTACTCAATTAAGCATCTATTCTTGTATCTTAGAGTAAGAATTAAAATTTTTCAAAGGATAATGCTACAATATTGGATACTGGAGTATATATTAATAAAATTTCTTTTGAAGATAATACATCATTTTTTCTATATAAAGTTGAAGGCAATTTGTATGAATTGTTTTTTCTCATGTAAAAATGGTTAAACAAGTTGTAGTATCTATATAACTGACAATCCTGGTCATGTGGCCTAATCTGGGGGATTTGACACTGTTTTTGTTAGGGATTGTAAATTTTACCAGTCCCTTTAAGAAGGAAAAAAAAAATTCAAATTCAATACTGACACATTTTTGCTTGTAGTTTACTGTACATTATTTTTTAAAAAAACATTAGCCAGACAAACCCAAGTTGTCCAGGCAAATAATCTCAAATATTTGTCATGTCTGATATTATAATCTTCTATGTAAGTTTTTTAATTAAAGTTATTTCTGTATTCCTTTGTGATGTCTGATTTGATTAAACACCACCTATTCATAGCACAACCTTTTCTTTTTCATTTTTTTAAGACATAGTTGGTGCTTATGACTACTCCTAATTCTGTGCTCAGGGTTTATTCCTTGTGATCCTGGGGACTGAACCAAGGCCTCCAAAAGCCTGAGTTCAGCCCATTAACTATCTCTCCAGCCTCACAATTGTTTTAGTAGCTAAATAAAAACATTAATAAATTTTACATCATAATGTGGGGGTGGGGGTGTAAAAATCAAGTTTTCCAATATATGCCGTGTTATGTTTCACTTTACATATCTTATTCTTCAAAACTCATGGTTGACTCAAGTTTAGTGACACTGATCCTGTTATTTCCTATCATACTTAGGATCTAACAAGATTTGTTTTACAAGAATGAAGTAACTGATACATATTTGTTGCTGAAGTATAATTCAGGACACAATTTCATCTCTAAGCCTAATCTGGTATATCCTGGATTTGTAAAATATAAATCTTTGGAGCTGGAGGTATGATGAGGCCAAAATTCATAGTTCTAGATCCTCAGATATATGGTTCTGTCAAAAGTTAAGACTAATTTATCTAATCCACTTCCTAAAGAGATCCACTTGTAAAAAGGGTACAGATCAGAAATCCTATGCAATCCTGGATCCTTTTCAAGACACCAGCCTACTGCTTACCTTTCAGCTTCTTCATTTTTTAGAAAATCAACAGCTGCCCAACCAAAGTCATAGTAGTGATTAGCAGATTTAGTAAGATTACACCAAAGCATTTTATAACCTCAATAAAAACATAAAACTTGTAATATCACTTTTAATCCTTGCATGGTTTTACAATCAACATATGAGTCAGTTAACAGAAGCTGAAAGAATCTCGTTTTGATTTGCTAACATCAAATAACTTCCTTTCTTTTCAGAGCTACTATTTTATGTACTTAGGAATAGTGTGACTATGAAAAGGATGCCCACTGAATAACCAGTCCCTCCAACAAAACAAAACATCCTAATAACATCTGTACTTGTATGTACAGCAGATCATCTGAAAATCTCTTGAGTTTCATACACTGTCTTTATACTTTAAGTATATATATAAAAAAAAATCAGGTGCAAAATGAAGAATAAATGTTTTGGAAGTCACATCAGCCAGATCCAAACAGATTTCTGATATTATCACATATATACACAAATAAAACTATACAGAACAGGAAAAACAAGGAATTCCATTGCTTTTGGAAAACAGCAGAAAACAATAGAAAAATTCTTTTGAAAATGCAGACAAACATTTTCTCATCATACATAAGTCTCAGGCATTAACACATTTCTGTAATAAACCTTAATAGTCATACTTTTACTCATTATAAAAATCAAGTCTGCCAGTAAAAATGAAAATTTTTTCACACTAATCTTTAAATTTCATCACTTAAAAGTAGTCGTACACAACAATTTCTAATCTCTTGGAACATTCTGTAGAATAGATTTTAGTCACCTGCATGAATTAATTGCTCAGAAAAGCAGCACTGTCTCAACTGCGATTATGATTTAGTAGTCAATATTCTTTTTTTCCAGTTGAAAAAGATTCTGTAAGAAGAAACATTAGATTCCTTGTGGTTTTATCGATCAAGAGAGCGTTTCTGTGCAGCTTCTGAGCAAACATTTCTTAACAGGTTGATCACAGATCTGGGATCTTCACTCCTCATAATGGCACTACCAGACACAATCATGTTAGCTCCTGCCTAGAAGAAGTAAACACTTAGGTTATATCTCAAAGAAAGATACAGATGAGCCTAAAATAGATGTCTTGGAACAGAGCTAATACTCTTGCGTCCTGCCAGTATTTTAACTATATAAAAGCCATTCTTAGGTTTAAAAAAAAAAAACCTCAAGCAGCTTCAAAGAAGTTAAAATCATTAACAATTTTTTCATTTTTACAAGTGAAGTTACTTATAAATATGTTTAAGAAATTACTAACTTTTAGTAATTAATATTAAATAATCACACGCAGAGGCAATTATTTCAGTTTCAACCAAGGTGACGGTTAATATGCTAGGCAATCACCTCAATTGTTGTTGTTATGCTCTAGTCCTAAACCTTGAATTTCTTACATGAATTGCGAACAGTCTAGAACAATTACTATTTAAAGATCAAACTATACATTAACTATGGTAACATTAAACTTAATCTCATTTGTTATTTCACATTTTAATGAGAAGAAAAATGGAATATTGGGGAAAGCTGGCAGTACCATTTAATCATTATGTAATTTTTAAATACAGTCTTCCTGTTTTTTTCTTTCCCAAATTCCACATTAAAAACAAAACAAAACAAAAAACCAACAGGCGAACAATCTACAAAATATTAGGGATCTTCACTGGCTCAAAAGACAATGAGAAACATGACACAAGGTACATATTTTTGACACAAGGTGTAAGTTTGAGACACCAGAGAGGAAATTGGTCTTAACCAGTCAAGGAGCAGTCTCACCTCTGCACATTTATGGATAGTGTCAGGACCTACGCCACCATCGACCTCTATGTCCAAAGATGGGAACTGAGTCCTCAACCAGTGAACCTAGATATACATGAGGAAATAAGTGACTCCTAAAGTGGAATTGGGGAATGGGGGAGGGGTGAAGACAAGCAATCAAATACGGGGGGGGAAAAAAAGAATCAAATAGCCAGTATTAGTCACAAAATGATTCCAATGTTTTAACACAATAAATTTCTATCAATAAAAAAAACTGTAGGAAAAAATTTCCTATTATCCTAAAAAAATTAAGTTGAAATAAAGCAAGCTTTATTCTGTTTAGCCAATGACATTCAACTTGTTCTAGCTTTGCAGAGAAGACAGTCACAACCCTTAACTTAATACCAAGAGATCTAAAACCTGTGGAGAATGGGTTGAGAGAAAATTTCAAGAGCGAATGCAGTATTTTATGATTTTTAAGTCTGTATTTCTTATAGTGGGCTGGAGCGATAGCACAGCGGTAGGGTGTTTGCCTTGTGCGCAGCCGGCCTGGCCAAGCCTGGTTCGATTCCTCCACCCCTCTCGGAGAGCGCGGCAAGCTACCAAGAGTATCTCACCCGCACAGCAAAGTCTGGCAAGCTCCCTGTGACGGATTCGATATGCCAAACACAGTAACGACAAGTCTCACGATGGAGACGTTACTGGGCCTGAACAACAGGAGGACCGTGACCGTGACCATATTTCTTATAGTGTATATCACACTTATTACAACAGGCAAGAATCCCCAAATATCTTTAGAACAGGCCTATCTTAAAGATACAAAGGTTCAATATATGCTAACGGAATGCACATACAATAATAGCGTGACCCCAGAATCAAACAATTTTTTTACCTTTGGCATCATATCATCCATAAATTTTTGCCCTCCAAACCCAGGTTCCACTGTCATAACCAAGGCCATGTCTATCTGATTAGCCCATGGTGCCAAGTACTCAACTGTAGTTCCAGGTTTGATGGCAAGGCCAACCTATAACAGAAAAAAATGTACTACGTCACAAAACAATTATTTACATATGACTGAGGTTTATCAGGACTAACGAAATGTCTCTCCGTTAACAGGGTCCTGGAGGTGGGGGTGGAATGGAAAGATAGGCTGGTTTGGGCCACACCAAACAGCTCTCAGGGGGTTACTCCTGATTCTGTGCTCAGGAATGACTCTGGCAGTGCTCAGGGGGTCATAGGTGGTGCCAGGGATCAAACCAGAATCAGCTGTATGCAGGCAAAAATTCCTCGTCTCCTGCACTATCTCCTGGGTGAGAAAAATCTATTCTTAAAAAACAGTGTACAGACAGCATACAGCCGAAGAAAAGGGCCACATGGAGGGTGGGATCCACACCTCCCGGAGGGAGAAAAAAAAAAAACAGGTTCCAAAAAGAGCCGAGATCATCGGGAAATCCCAGATGGGGTAGGTACCGCATCCCGCCTCCCCCAGATGGAACCCCGGTGACCAGAAGCCTCTACAAGCACAGCTCGAGTATGCGGGAACTAGGACTTTTTCTCAAAACCGTGCGGCCGCTTATGCGGCCGCGTGACATCTCTTTATATACAAAGTAATCAATGGGAAGTAAACCACCCAACGTTTCTCCCTGAAAATCAGAGTTAAGTTTGGAGCACAGCCACAGCCCTAGAAACACAAGGACTTAATGCAGAACCCGGCACCTTGGAGCAGAAAGGTGAACGGACTATGCGTTAATCCAGGCCATCATGTATGTTCAGAGGGGAAAGGGTGTTGCCCCATTCGCCCTCTCCTCTCTGGAAAGAAAGATGGCGGCCGCATGGGAGCCTTGTGGACAGCAAGTATGAGCGGGGGGTGTGGGGGCGACTAAAACCTCATGGGAAGGGGGGCATTCCGGTCCGTCCTTCACACCTACCGAGGTCACCAGTTGCCCCCCACAAGCGGCTCTCCAGCACGGCCACAGCCCCAGAAGCACAAGGACTTAATGCAGAACCCAGCAGCTTGGAGCAGAAAAGTGAAAGGACTATGCGTTAATCCAGGCCATCATGTCTGCCCGGAGGGGAAAAGGTGTTGCTCCCTTCAGCCCTCCTCCCTCTGGAATGAAAGATGGCGGCCGCATGGGAGCCTTGTGGACAGGTATGAGCCGGGGGTGTGGGGGCGACTAAAACCTCATGGGAAGGGGGGCGTTCCGGTCCGTCCTTCACGCCCTACTGAGGTCAACAGTTGCCCCCCGCGAGCGGCTCTCCAGCACAGCCATGGCCCCAGAAGCACAAGGACTTAATGCAGAACCCGGCAGCTTGGAACAGAAAAGTGACTGGACTATGCATTAATCCAGGCCATCAAGTCTGCCAGAGGGGAAAGGGTGTTGCCCCATTTTCCCTCTCTTTTCTGGAAAGAAGGATGGCGGCCTCATGGGAGCCTTGTGGACAGCAGGTATGAGCCGGGGGTGTGGGGGCGACTAAAACCTCATGGGAAGGGGGGCGTTCCGGTCCGTCCTTCACACCTACCGAGGTCACCAGTTGCCCCCCACGAGCGGCTCTCCAGCACGGCCACTGCCCCAGAAGCACAAGGACTTAATGCAGAACCCAGCAGCTTGGAGCAGAAAAGTGAAAGGACTATGCGTTAATCCAGGCCATCATGTCTGCCCGGAGGGGAAAGGGTGTTGCTCCCTTCCACCCTCCTCCCTCTGGAATGAAAGATGGCGGCCGCATGGGAGCCTTGTGGACAGCAGGTATGAGCCGGGGGTGTGGGAGCGACTAAAACCTCATGGGAACGGGGGGGCGTTCCGGTCCGTCCTTCACGCCCTACCGAGGTCACCAGTTGCCCCCCGCGAGCGGCTCTCCAGCACAGCCACGGCACCAGAAGCACAAGGACTTAATGCAGAACCCGGCAGCTTGGAGCAGAAAAGTGAACGGACTATGCATTGATCCAGGCCATAATGTCTGTCCGGAGGGGAAAGGGTGTTGCCCCATTCGCCCTCTCCTCTCTGGAAAGAAAGATGGCAGCCGCATGGGAGCCTTGTGGACAGCAGGTATGAGCCGGGGGGGTTTGGGGGCGACTAAAACCTCATGGGAAGGGGGGCCTTTCGGTCCGCCCTTCACGCCCTACCGAGGCCACCAGTTGCCCCCACAAGCGGCTCTCCGGCAAGGCCACGACTCCAGAGCACAGAAACCAATTTCTTAACTATCTGACTTTCAGTAGAAATACTTCCAGGGTCAATAAGTAAAATAGCAGAAATCCAAAACCAACATTTAATTCTTGAACCCAGCTGTAGAAAGCAAATCACTTCACAATGCTTTTTCAGTATGTCTGATTTGGGGGGGGTGGGTAAACTCTAAATAATAGTGGTGAATCTTTTATTGAAACAATGAATCTAATCAAAGCAGATAGAGTGTTAACTAGAATTCATCTGCCTCACAGGGAATGGGAGGGGTGGGGGGTGGGGTTTTATTGGGGTTCTTCATGGTAAAAAATAAGTATTGGTAAAGGGAAAAGTGTTTGATATTTGCATGACTGAGACCTAAACCTGAAAGCTTTGTAACCTTTCCCACAGTGATTCAATAAATAAATAAAAAAAAAAACAGTGTACATATATAGATGAAAAGTCTATTCTTAAAAAGACAATATACATATATAGATAAAATACAGAAAACTTTTTGATTAGTTACTAAAATTAAGTCAGCAAAATTATCACGCTATCAACTATAAATACATCTTTAAAATAAGTTTTAGAAAATGTTAGATATAAACAGTCATCGCTGACCTCTCACCTTCATTCCATTCTCCCGAATGTCTTTAATCAAAGCCCCTGGGTTCTCAGTGGCCTCTAAATGAAAGGTATACTGATTAGCGCCTGCTACGGCCATTGGCTTTACCCACTGTTCTGGTCTGGACACCATCATGTGCATATCTAAGGAGGGAAAGAAAGACATATCACTTAAGTATTACTGAACTGAAAACACCAGGTTCATAACACTCAGAACAGCCTATAGATTTTGCGATTTCAGAGAGAAACTCCTCTGGCATAATACTAATGATCAATTTACATTTTACAATTAACCTTCGATTATTCAGAAGATAAGTTTCTTATTTATAAACTCATCTACCCCACCCCCACACCCCATCGCCTCCCCAAATAAAACAGCCAGCTAGGCAGAGATCCAAGTGCAATCCTTAGAACCTCATGGTCCTGAACACTGGCGGGTGCAAGCCTGAGGGATTCTGAGCGATCAACAACAGGGTGGCTGGTGACCCCTGGTACATTTCCACATTCTTGAACCCAAGTGTTGAACCACCCAGGCCAGAAGCAGAGTATTGCTGAGAGTAATCCCAGAGCCCCTGAGCATTGCTTGGGAACTGCCCTCCAAAGAAAGAAAAAATATATATAGGGTCCTATATGTGAAAAGCAATGACTAGAATCAAAAAATGTGGGTCCAAAAAATGATTTTAAAACTTAAGTCATTTAACCTAAGATGATTTGTTTTCCAAAATACAAACAAAAAAACTAAATTATACTTTCCAGTTTCTTATTGAATACTTACTATACCACCATAGCTAAATCTAGGAATAGAGATTACATTCTTAGTGAGGGGGGCTAATATCAGAATAGACACTGAGTTGGTAGGAAGGCTACAGTGACAGAAATAAGGGAAACACACAATATAGAGCCGAGAAGAGGTACTACAGAGCTCTGCAGACACAAGATGGGGCAACATTACTGGACTGAGTGAAGGGACAAGTTCTGCTTTGGCACAGCAATAATCCAGGTGAGAAGTGATAATGGAAGTAACTGAGGATTGTGAGATTCTGTGTGGAATTAGAGAAGTGACAGATGAGGAGTCAGGATGGTACTAGGTTTTGGGTCTGAGTAATTAAATTAGAATCAAATTACATTTAACTGAAAAGCACAAACTGCAGGAAGAGAAATGGATGTATGAGGATGGATGTGTTAACTAAAAACCAACATACATTCTAATCCTAAAGTTAATTATCATATAAATTTTAGGAAAAATGAGCTTGATCCTCTTAAAATATCTTGATTTAAACATTAGTATCAGTGAGAAGAAGCAGTTTAAAAGATAGCAAATAATACTCAAAATCTCTGGCACTGCAATTGAACAAGAATGAGACATTAAGGGGATTCAGATTAGCAAAGAGGAAATCTAGCTAGCACTATTTGCTGAAGGCATGATTTATATGAAAACCCTAAAGACACTCAAAAAAGCTCTTTGAAAACAAAAAAAACGCTATGTAGTAAAAGTGAACTACAAAATCAATATGGAGAAATCCATGGCATTTCTATACACAAACAATGGGATAGAAGAGAAATAAAACTATGCTATTTACAACTGTCTCCCCCCAAAATCAAGTACCTAGCAAATTAACAAAGGTGGAGGGTAAAAGACTTATACAAAGAAAACTCTAAGTCACTATTAAAAGAAATTATATACAAGGTAATAGAAACACATCACTTCTTCATGGACTGAAAGGATTAACATTAGCAAAATGAACAACCTAACCAAAGCATGATAGAGATTCAATGCAGTCCCCATAAAAATTCCTATGACATTCTTTAAGGACGTGGATCAAATACTAAGATATATATGGAGTAATAAAACTTCACATAGCCAGTGATCCTTGGAGAAAAGATTGGAGGCATTTCTTTTCCCAGTTTTAAATTATACTATAAAGTTATAGTAATCAAGATGGTTTAGTACTAACAAATGCAGACTTACAGACGAGTGGAATGGAGAAATAGTACAGCAGGAAGGGTGTTTGCCTTGCAAACTACCAACCCGGATTAAATCCCCAGCAATCCAAATGGTCTCCCAAGCCTGCCAGAATAAATCCCTGAGCACTAAATCAGGAGTAAGCCCTGAGCACTGCCAGGTGTGGCCCCAAAACAAAAAGACATAAGAGACAGATTCTAAGATATATGGATAGCTCATTTTCAACAAAGGATCTAGTTGTATAAAGTGGACCATGGAAACCCTCTTCAATAAATGGTGTTAGGAAAACTGGTAAACCTATTGGTGGTGGAATCTGATGGAACACTGTGTCTAAAACCCAATTTTGCAAATCACGATACTTTAATAAAAGAAAACTCAGGGAAAAAAAGAGAAAAACTGGCCAACCACCTGCAAACAAAAATGAATATGAATCCCCACCTCACCATACATACAAAATTAATTGACAAGCCAACCCCACTCAGTATTAGGCCATCTTCAGTGAATCAATGCCATTGGCCAAGAAAACAGAAGTAAAAATAAATAAATGGGAACACATTAATTAAGAAGCTTCTGCACTGTGAAAAAAATGGTGTATATAATACAAAGTTTCTACTGACTAGGAGAAAAGAAGTACTCACCACACATCAGATAAAAGGCTAACACCTAAGTTCTATAAAGCACTCAAAAAACTGCCTACAATCTATAAAGCACTCACAAAGCCAAAAAAAGAAGAAAAAGAAGAAAAGAGGGAGAGGAGGGAGAGGGAGAGGGAGAGGCGGAGGAGGAGAACTAGAGGGGGAAGGAGAAGGGAGAAGAAAATAACTTTTTTTCAGAGGTCAAGGTACCTGGTATGATGCCAGTGATCGATGTGAGGCCAACTATTTGCAAGATATCCCTGGACTATCTCTCCGGCCCATATACTGCTTTATATGAGGAAAGGTAAGAGCATGGAAGAGGAGTATATTAGAAACCTTTTCAGACAGGAGTGAATATTCTATTTCTAGATCAAAACCTAACAAACAGGACTTTTATAAATACTAGCTGCAGTATAACATCAATAAATTCAATCAGGAAACTTTGTACATCTTCTTACACTAAAACACTGAATTCTATCAAATACTTTGAATGCATCTTTTTACATATTGGCTCACTGAGTAATACCAGATTTAAACAGTGATACTTTTCATTATATTTCAACATAAAATATATTCATGTACTATCACAACAACTGATTTTAACACAAAATCTAAAGTTCTAGGGAGCTGATAAGCTGCAGTGGCACTTATCACACTGCAGAATGCTTCCAAAATTCTAATTTTCACTTGTGAGTTCTGACTTGATCAGTGGAGAATGGAAACTAAGTAAGGTATTTTCCTTCAAGAAAACAGGTTCACTTAGACAAATAAAATCTCAGGAAAATATCCCAAGTCTGACAACTACAGTTGCTCTGTCCAGTGTTCACAAAAATGGCAGTGACTCAGTCTGTAACTCAAAGGCACATGTGTCGTCCCTTGAGAAAACCATCACCTTCTAGTATGTGGTAGAGACTATGTGCTGCCTACTTCACCACACAAAATGAACAGACATGCACTCTTAGATGTTTGCTCAAACAATGTTATTTGCTTAAGCAGAAATACTTCTCTATGAATACACGTACCTGAACAGTTTGATACAAAACCTTTCACTTAATTTGGGAAAATGGATCAGCAGACAGATTTACCACTGCATTGGTACCATGAGTAACAAAAAAGGACAAAGAATATTATATAACAAAAATAGTGTTGTTCTCACTGACTATCTAAAAGGAATTTCCTATTGGAAGGGTCTTGAAGTCATTCTTTTTTAACTGCCGACGTTTTAATTTGATTAATTATACTATAAAATAGCAATGTATACACAAGGGAATTTTAACACATCATATACATGATGCACTAAAAATATCTTACATTTAGCTTTTAAAAAGTTTCAAGTTACAATGATTATGAACAGTATTTATATCAAAAGATTCTCCATAGGTGATTTGGTTATTTTAGTCCCAAGTTATTGCTTAAGAAAGCATTCTTAAAGACCAATGATCACAACAAAAACAGATGCTTTGTGCTCAGGGATGACTCCCGGTGGGCTGGAAGAACCTTATGTGGTACCTGAATAGAATCTTATGTGGTATTCAGATACCTTAAGTGGTTGGACAAAAGCATGGAAAATGCCCATCCTACCGTACTATCTTTCCAGCCCCATTTCTGCTCAAATCTTAGACTAACGAGGTAACTTCAATGGCTATGCATACAACTTATGATATAGCGAATAGCAAAAACATATTAATGTATCATTTATAAAACAATCAAGATCAAAGAACAGAGCCAAAACAACGCCTCTTAGTGTAAAAAAAAAAAAGTAAAGTAAAGTAAAGGCCCTCCAGTTGATCATCGATTTGCTCGAGCGGGCCCAGTAACGTCTCCATTGGAGACTTTGTTGTTACTGTGTCTGGCATATCGAATACTCTCGGTAGCTTGCCGGGCTCTCCGAGAGGGGCGGAGGAATCGAACTCGGGTCGGCCATGTTGGCTGCGTGCAAGGCAGACGCCCTACCCGCTATGCTAAACTCACGGATATAGAGATCATTCAGCCTCTTGACCCATTTCCAGAAAGATTAATTACCAAGATTATCAGCAAACCAACAAACCATAAAGAGAAACAAAAAAACAAACAAACTGTACAGTAGGGCTAGTAAAAGAAAAAGCACTAATAGCACTGGGAAGAGCTACCGGGAGACCGAAGTAAAAGGGAGAGGAAAGGAAGAAAAAATTATTAGCTCACACAAAACTGTAAGTAGTGGACTTTGTGGCCATTATATAATGAGGATAAACAATATTCAAATTTATTTTTGAAAAGCCATTTTCCAAAATGTAATGAAAATAGAAAAAAAAATCTTTTGGACAAAAATCCAGCAAACATTTGAAAAATAGAAAATAAAAAAGTTTTAGGAATTTCAGTAGCCACATGAAAGTACAACTTTTAATCTTACTAAATTTCTTATACAGAAGAAATTCGATAGTTTAAAACCGTTAGTTTAAAACAGCAAAAGCAATAATATGTGATTTGACTCTTGAATCTAACTCCCAGATTACGGTGTGATCTCAAAATCTTAACTCATTACTACATCATTGAATTTCAAAGCTAGCTGATAATGAACTTAAAAATTCATGTAATTTGACTGAGACCCAATCCTGTGGCCTAAATTCAGCTCTAAGAAAACAGACAAATAAGTGGAAGCAAGCCCTACCCTCAAGACTGTCACGACAGCATGATAAAAGTAACTTCCTTCAGACAGAAGGAAAGGCTAAGGAGAAAATCTAAAGGGAATATGAGAACAGGTTAAAGGTTAATTTATAGGAGAAATCTCTAAGAGGCTCCCTGTGGAAATGACAAATAATCCCATAGCTCAGAGGAAGGAAGAGCTTTTCAGGCAGAGGTAAGCAAAAGTGCCAAGGCCTTGAGGCAACATGAGGTTTGGCTCCTCAAAGGAAACCAAAGAAGCCTTCGCAAGGGGAGGGGAGAGGGAAAGGGCTGAAGAGGAAGTGAAGATATCAACCATCATTTGTTTCTTTATGTAGGCAACACACCCAACCTCACATGGCATAGTACCCACTTACCAAAGAAGGGGTCCTGGCCTAGCTGCTTTCGGAGGCTTTCTACCACAGGGTGACCAAAGGTGATGTTGGGAACAAAATGCCTACAAGACAAACAAAACCTTTCTCGGAACGTGTTCTCAGTTCACTTGATTCGTGAGGTATTCTGAGGGGAAAGGTCTAAATTGTCATCATGACCGTAATAGTTTTAAATCTAGGGGTTTTTTCTTTAATACCAATATTTAACACCAGCAATATCTGCAGAGTTTCCGTTTTAAAAGTTTATCTCCTTGGCATAATGACAGATAAGTCATAATCTCGGACAGGTAGAAATTGAAACATGACAAAATAAACACTCTGAAAGTTCCATTCCATGACTTGCCCAAGTCACATGCTAGTTAGGAGGTTCTGAACTCTGATGTGGTGCTCTCCTAGCTCAGCCGTTACAGGCTGCCCACGGCTGTTCCTAACCTACCTCTAGCAATGGCACTAACTGACAACTTAACCTTCACTAGAGATCGTCCTTCCTTCTTGCACTCCCAATACAGGTACCCTGTTGGATGCTTCAGAAAGCACTGTATTTTATTTATAATATACAAGAGATTCCTTATTTATAAGAATTTAAATTTTTCATGCTAGAAACATTTAGTCTCACTGGCAAGGACTGCTAAAATTCACAAAAATTCATGACCCTACTGTTGCACAAAGTGGCTGGTAGACAGCTAATTCCTTCAAGGCCTACAGGTCCTAGCTCCTGTCCTAGCAACCTTTACACCCAGTAGCCCCTGACTGGAGCTTGTTACCAGCGAACTGTGAATTTAAGTGATGTGTCATCAACATGGCTGCACGACCAATAACAGTACTTGAATTTCTGCATTAAAGGATATGGACAACAAAATGTTCTATAAATGAGAAATAAACTGCTTAATGTAAAGCTACCGAAATCTGGACTTTGTTAAAATAATCTATTTCAAAGGGTGGAGAGATAGTACAGTCGGTAGAACACTTGCCCTGCATGCAGCAAGCCAGGTTTTATCCTACATGGTCACTTGAATCTCAGAAGTATGAGCATAACTGGGTGTGCTGCCCCCCCCAAAAAATATACAGGCATATTTTTAAAAACGTAAACAGTAACATGTTGACAGCTGATTAAAAGTTGCAAAGGCAAGTAGTACTGCATTTTAAAAGAGGGAAAAGAACATGTAGTTATAAAATAATTTGTAAAGAATTTGAAAAGAAGGAAAATAAAGAAAAGACAGATATAAGGTAAGTATAATCCAGGGCCGGAGAGATAACACAGCAAGAAGGGCGCTTGCCTTGCATGCAGCAAACCCTGATTCGATCCCCAGCTTCCCATATGATCAGTCCTCTGTCTAAGCACTGCCAGGAATAATTTCTGAGTACAGAGCCAGGAGTAACCCACAAGCACTGCGGGTGTGTCCCCTAAATAGAACAAAACAAAACAAGAGCAGAATCAAAGAAGGTGGAAATGGTGCTCACCAGCTTGATGGAGTGAAAAGGCAGGGGTGGAGTGTGTCTCAAAAATATATCAAAAAGCCATGCTCAGTGTTCAAACATTAAATATGACGATTTTACAGCAAGAAACAAGTGAAACAGAAGATGCGCATAATGGAGCAGGAAGACAGAGTAGGCAGTGAACAGGCACAAAGGAAAAGAAATGGCAAGAAGAGCTTGAACAGAAGTAAAGATGGCAACCGTGATGGGATGTGAGAGGCTGAAGAGAGAATAAAGCAAAGCTAAACTACGGGGGGAGGAGGGAGTAGTAGTGAGGAGGGTATGGGATACACCCAACAGAGCCTGCTAAGTGCTGGAATTGCCAAAGATGAAACCAGGGTCAGCAACGTGTTAGGCAAGAGAATATACATCCTGTAACCCTGTACTATCCCTGAATGCATGACTTGGTTAAGCTTACTGAGGTGACAGAATGAGTCTTACCAGAAGACTGAAATATTAAATATTAAAACATGTGGCAGGGACCTGGATTCTAAATACTTTTCATACACTAAATCATTAAACCTCACCACAGTCCTATGGGGTAAGTACTACTATTTCCTGTATGTTAACAGATAAAAGGGTCAATCAGTCAGTGCTAGAGGCAGGAATTAAAGGCTGCCAGGATCAGTCTGGAGCCAAAGTTCAGCTTCTTAACTGCAGGCCTGCAGTTACAACTAATAAGTAACAAAAAACAGGTCCAAGAAACTCAATCCTAGGAGGTCAGGTTTGGTCACCAGAGGTTTGGTGGCTGGTGTTTAACAAATCATTATATCATTGGTCTCACAACAACTGCAAGGGTAAAGGGTAAGACTTTTATTATAATAGAGTATAATAAAAAAAAATCTGTTTACTCAGAACTTGAAGGGGTCAGATAAGGAGGCTTTAAGGGCAACTGAGTAATATATAGCTCTAAGATTTGGATTCTGCTTCTGGTTCTTTGGCTGTGTGGACTTGGAAACAATTTTATTGTCTCAACTTTAGGTTTTATTTATGATGAAAAATATAATAACTATGTCTTAAAAAATGAGCATTAAAAAAACACTTTTACTTCACTGTGAAACAGAAGCACAGAGTATGAAACTAATGACCATCAAATTATGACTAAAAACTAAAAACCAATTCAATGAACAAGGGTCACCTAGAACAATGGAAGAACAAAAAAAAAGTATCTTTGGCAGAAAAAAAGGTTTATGGTTAAGCCAGGGCTGGAGCGATAGCACAGCGGGTAGGGCGTTCGCCTTACAAGCGGCCAACATGGCCGACCCAAGTTCGATTCCTCCGCCCCTCTCGGAGAGCCCGGCAAACTACCGAGAGCATTCGATATGCCAGACACAGTAGCAACAAAGTCTCCAATGGAGACGTTACTGGGCCCGCTCGAGCAAATCGACGATCAACGGGAGGGCCTTTACCTTTTACCTTATGGTTAAGCCATTACCCCTCCCCCAAAATGGCTGCAAACACACCCATGAAATATAGGGGTCCCAAATTTGCCTGAGAACAGGAACCACTGGAGCACTAGCCACAAAAAAGGATTACATACTGGTGCTACTCCAAGTCTATTTATGTCAAGAAGGACCCAGAAATATGAATGATTAGTAAGCACCCCAGGGGTCTAGGGGGGTTTTCAAGCCAGTTTGGAAAACACTGTTTCACTATAATGAAGAGAAAATTCACCAAGGAAGTTCGTTTCATCATTATCTTTGGTCTTTTTCCCCCTGAAAGGTACTTTTTGGAATAAAGCTGGGGGGGCGGGGGCAATATAATAAGTACCCCGTCCACCAAAGAACCAAAAAACCTACAGCGATTACACTACAACCATTTATAATACAAGGATATAATTATTTTATCTTTCACCATATGCCATAGTTGCAGTCAGTTAGGGGAAGCTTTGGGGGAGACAGTCCAGTTGTCTAGTTACCAGTCCAGATGCAGCCCAGAGGCATGAAGACTGCAATCCATTGACATGCAAACACCGAGTTCCTTGGAGATGGAAGAAATGAGGTGCCAGAGAAGAGTGGACCTTTCTATGGACCACCGAGAAGGGTGGAAGGGATTCAAGAATGGATGGGAGATGCGTGCTCAAAGTGGGCAAAGGATGCACTTGATGGCTTCTCAGTATCTGTACTGCAAACCATAATGCCCAAAAGGAGAGAGAGAGAGAGAGAGAGAGAGAGAGAGAGAGAGAGAGAGAGAGAGAGAGAGAGAAAGAGAGAGAGAGAGAGAGAAAGAAGAAAAGTCCCTGTCATAGAAGCGGGGTGGGGGATGGGGTGTGGGGAGGGTAGAGTGGTGGGAGGGATACTGGGAACACTGGTAGTGGGAAATATAACTGGTGGAGAGATGCGTGTTGGAACATTGTATGGCAGAAAATGGGGCATGAAAGCTTTATAACTGTATCCCACACTGGTTCAATAAAAATAGTAATTTTTTTTAAAAAAAGGGAAATCCTAAAGGTCATGATAAGAACATGAAAAAAATAATTCAACAAGGCCAGGGCTATTTGGAAAAAGCCCAACTATAAAACCAGCCTTGCCAAGGCAGTAGGAGATATTCTGGCATCTCAAACCAAGGTGTGTACTCTCAGGCTTTCCCCGCCTCTCAAGAACCCGTGTCCTTTCTTGAACACATCTCCCTCTCCTTTCCTGTTCCTCTATATAAAAACTTTACTTCATTAGTCACCTCCTCCTGAAGTCTTCTCTAGGAGAGAAGGAACATTCCTGGAAACCCAGGCAGGAGTTAGGACAGTCTTGTCTCTTCCAGGAAAAAGCAATTTGTCACTCAAGCCTGTGTCCACAGTTCCCCAAGGGAGTCCCCTGTGCTATGTAAATAAAATGAACTTCAGCACAGCTTGAGAAGTTGCCCTGCAGGGCTAGTATGCAGGCCAGGCAGATGCTCTCGTAGACTTCACCAGCCCTGACTCACCCCAGGTACGTACTAGGATCACGGAGAAGGGTCAAGTGGACTCATCATGTCACCCACCCCATCACTTGGGGAAATAGGAGTTAGGTCACCTGACACCCAGGGAATCCTTTTCTTTGGGTGGAAGCCAGTTTTCCCACCTCCATCATGAACCCCTCAGCTCCTTAAAACTGTCATGCAATCTATTGCAGATCAACCAACAAAGCAAAGATGGCAAAAACAAAATTGTTATGAAAAAACACTTCCTCATAATCAGGAATCAAAAAGTTATGGCCCTGGAGGCTGGTAGATAATAATGGAGGAATGAACAGAGCAGATGGGGAGAAAGCATAAAGCTCAACTTGCCTAACCAATGGCAGCTGCTATTCAAATGCCACGAAGAGGACCCAGTGAGACAGACTGTAAGAGCAGCTTTCTGAATTCTCCGGGGTATTTTTGTTTTTTTAAGAGTCAGAAATACAGTACAGGGCCAGAGTGACAGTACAATGGGTAGGGGGCACTTGCTTTGTGCACGGCTGGCCCAGGTTCAATCTCCAGCACCCCACATGGTGCACCAAGCTCAGGAGTGATCCCTGAGCTCAGTCAGAAGTTTGCAGCACCAAGTGTGTCCCCAAAACAAAAACAAACAAGAAATACAATGCTAATGGGAAATCTTCCTGGTTCTTAAACTCTGGTAATTTACAAGTTATATGCTCTGCTTCCCCACACGTAAGAAGAACACATTTATTTAACTATGGTCCTATGCTGCCCTGGGAGGGGAAGGGTGTCTGTCCCTCCACCTGTCCGCGGTGGCGGTGGCGACATGGTGGCCTGCATCTTTTAGAGCCTAATGAACAGCCAGGTATGAGACTGCATTGACAAGGCACATGGGGCTTCATGGGATGGGGCATGGAATCGGCCCTGCTCCGGGTTGCCTCCCTCAAACGCCTCCTCTGGCTTCTGACCGACCATGAACCCAGAAGCACACATACCAATCTCAGAACTCAGGGGCTTCTGGCAGTAATCCCTCTAGGTTTATTACTAAAATATCAGAAATCCAAATTTGCGTGGCCACTATTGTGGCCACAGGACATCATATGCTCTTCACAATCAATAATAGAAAACAAATTTTCTAATGATGCTTTGTGACAGGTCTGAATGTTGGGGAAAATTCCAAAGAACAATAGCGGGTCTTTTGTCGTAATATTGAATGTGATCAATGTAGAGAGAGAGAGAAAGTAAAGTGGAAATCTGCCACACAGGCAGGAGGTGGGTGGGAGGGGGGTATACTGGGATTCTTGGTGGTGGAAAATGTGCACTGGTGAAGGGACGGGTGTTTGGTCATTGTATGACCGACCGAGACTTGAACTGAAAGGCTTTGCTACTGTTCTCACGGTGATTCAACAAATAAAAAAAGAAGAAGAAGAAGAAAAAGAAGAACAACAAGAAAAAGAACACACTTCAAGTGCTCTCCTGTCAAGAGTTTAGGGGCTTTCTAATTTTTCTTACTGTAGGGCATTTGCCTTGCATGCAGCCGACCCGGATTCGATTCCTCTGTCCCTCTCGGAGAGCCCAGGAAGCTGAGAGTATCCCGCCCACACGGCACAGCCTGGCAAGCTCCCCGTGGTGTACTCGATATGCCAAAAACAGCAATAAGTCTCACAGTGGAGATGTCACTAGAGCCCACTCGAGCAAATCGATGAACAATGGGAGAACAGTGCTACAGTGACCGCCTTCTCAGTGTTTCCAGAATTCATTCCTGACACTCAAATGCAGACATTCATCCTTAAAACTGGGAGCTATGATGGGAGAGGACAGTCTAAAAATCAAGCACATTCAAACTTATGGGCATGCACAGATTCTTTTAAGACCAGGAAATAGAGCATACCCAAGGGAGAGGTTAAATTGTGGCTGACCACCCTGGGCAAGGGGTCACAGCCCTCTTCTTAGATGCCTCAAAGCCCAGAGCTCAGATTGGCTTGCCTCTACCTGGAGAGCTCAGATTGGCTTGCCTCTATCTTACTGGAGATAGGGACTGAGCCTCCCTAAACTTACTCCTGCCTTTGGAAAGGAGAACAAAAATTGCTCAACTCAAAAGCTGCAAAATTTCAAAAAGAAAAGACTTTTAAGTCATGTAAGGTGAATTTAGGGTTTTCTTTTTAAAAATTTGTTTTTGTTTTTTCCTAACCAAAGCATTTGTTTTTTGAGTTTTTTCTTTGGGTTTTTTTGTTTTTACATAAGGCATTTCTTGACAAAGGGCGAGATGAAACAAAAAAAAAAAATCATAAATTCTTTGATCTTAAACTAGGATCTTCTATAGGGCTGGAAGGGGGTAAGTGATTTCTTGGAATTCCAGCCATTATGAGGGAGCCAGTAATTCCTTTAACCAATTACAATGAAGCTTGTAAATTTAAAGATAGTTACTTTTTTAGATACAGTGGCCAAAAGGACAGACCCTGCCTCCAATACAGCAAAGATACGAAATAAATGACAAACTAAGTAGAAATTGAGTTCTCTGTGAGGACAAAAAAAAAAGTATTTATCATCCTCCGTACGCCAGAACTTACAAAATATTTTGAGATAATACAACCTGTTGCATGATTCCAACCAGGGCTGCATATTTCCTACCTACAAGACTAAGAAAGGTGACTTCCTTACTGATTCGGTTTTTAAAAACAGCAGTAACCCTGTAGATTCTGAGTTAATTCTAACAAGCCAGTAGAACAGAAACACTTTTTAAATAAATATTGGCTACTGTTATTATTACTATTCCTGATGAGAATAGAAAGGAGTTATTTTCTTCAACCAGTTATTCAAACTCCATATAAAATTTACAAGTGCTTTCTGCATCAACTAAGAGCACATATAACTTACCAGCTGAGTCACATTGAACTCAGGCACAGAAGTGCAGCTACCTACTCCATTCAGTCCTAATTCCAGTGAAAAACTGGGCCTTTTCCATAAAGGTGTCCCAAGTATGCAAGAGTACATGAAACAGCAATCCAAAATCAAAGTTTTGTGATAAGATTTTTCATTATCTGGTTGCACCTTTAACTTAGAAGAACTCAAAAGAGAAACAGCTAATCTAACCTGCCAGAACCATAAAAAAAGAGGCAACTGATTCTCTTTTGTAAACAACAGGAACCTGGAAATCTGCATGAGGTGGAATCTTTAAGTACCTAAAATACATTAATCTTTTGACTTGGTTTTCGAGTCCCTTTTCTGTTCTCCCTTGAACACATATCTCACTTGCCTGTCCCTCTGTTTCTTTGCCTATTTCCACTCTGGAGAAGCGTGTGTTCTCTCTTGAATACTCACTTCTTTCTCCCTTTCTCTCCCCTCACATCCTGCTAAATAAATCTCCATAAAAACTTACCCGCTGAGTCACACTGAGCCCGGGCACAGAAGTGCAGCTACCTACTCCATTCAGTCCTAATTCCAGTGAAAACCCGGTCTTTTCCATAAAGGTGTCCCAAGTATATGCCCGAGTACATGGAACAGCAATCCCAAATCAAAAGTTTTGTGATACGATGATTTTGGACTGAGATCCTGCCCCACAAAGGAATTAACTAATTAAATAAATAAATAAATAAATTTTCTACCTTAACCTAGGTATGGGCTGTTAGGGCCAGGGATCAGTGAAGCTCAGAGAACTACTTGGCAAACTAAAGGAGACTCAAGTTGCAAAACGTGTCCCAACGTTGTGTAACGCGGAGAGAATCGGACTGTTTTCTCTTAGGCTTCCTTCCTCTAACGTAGAACCAACTTAAGAAACGACTTATCCTCCCAAGATCATCCAAACAAGATTATGTGCTACAAGTATGGGGCTTAAAAGTTACCAAAAAAAAAAAAAAAAAACCAAAAACAAAAACCTGACCTCCCTGAAGAGCTGGGTGCCTGAAAAGAAAAAAAAAAAAGGACAACAGGAAAAATCAAAATTCGAACGCTACAGTAAAAAAAAAAAAAAAAACCTTTCAGCTTGTCCTCCTTCTAACACAGGCACTGTCAATTTGCATGAATCCTCTCAACTTCCGAAGATGCCAGCGCGGTGGCGGGTTCGACTCGCGACTTCGCCCAAGTTTCCCACAGGCTGGAACTGAAAACTCCCGGAGTCCCGGCAGCGTGTCCCGAGTAACCCCGCCAGGGGCGGCACTCGGGCGACCCTCTCCCTCCCTCCCGGTGGCCGGGGACACCAGTCTGTCTCTCCTGCTTTGCCACTAACCAGCGATGAGCTTGGGCAAGTCATGCCTATAGCCTGTGTGTGTCGGGGGTCGGGGGTCGGGGGTCGGGGAGGAGGCGGCACCTCAATTTTCTCCCAACTGAAAACCCGAGTCTGGATGACTGACGGTCGCTTCCGCGTCCCCGGTGTCAGGAGACCACACGTTACGTGGGAGGGGTGGGGGTGGGGGAGGGGAGAGGTGGAGATTCGGGACGCGGTCACCGCCCGGGTATCCCGGGCCCCGGGCCCCGCTTCCCGGGACCGCGCTCCGAGGTCCAAGCCACGCCACCGCCGTGCACCCAACAGGCGCTCCATCAAGAGGCGCCCATCCCCACCCCGCGCCGAAACCCTGCCCGGAGCCCCGCGGAGTTACCCGTCCATTACATCCAGGTGCAGATAGTCGGCCCCAGAGTCCAGCATCCGGAGGCACTCGGCCCCTAAGCTGGCCAGGTCGCTGTTGAGGATGGACGGGCCAATCTTGCAGCCGGACGCCATGGTGCTAGTTTCCCAGCGCTAAGTTAGCCCACGAGTCCGCAGGGGAAAAAAATGAACGCGCCGCCCCGATTGGCCGCGCCGCCTCGGCCCCGCCCCTTCCCGCAGAGGCTTCCGGGCTTGGCCGGAAACTGCCGGGTTACATCGAGGAAGTCCCGCCTCTCTCTGCCCGGGGCCGCGCTGAAGGGAAACTATAGGCGTCCGGGTGAAGCCGCACTTCGATGCTCTTTCCTCCTTCCTTGACCTTGCTGAAAACAGGCTTTTCGGGTTTACCAGGCCTTGCGTAATTCGCGGAGTTTCCTAATCCTTTTATGCTTTCTCCTGAAGTTCCCTCTCTGTGACTTGTGCCCTACCTTCACAGTGTTTCTCCATCATTTGCAAATAAATGCACATTTTCCATACCCACTCCTTTGTTTGCCTGTTAAATGATAAAGAAACAAAAAAATCTTCCTTATTTTTTATTTTCCCTTGAGTTCTCCTTTAAGGGAGATTAGAGGCCGCCCCAAAAGCCTCTATTCCTCTGAGAGCCTAGCAAGCTATCCATGGTGTATTCGATATGCCAAAACCTGTAAATATAATGGGTGTCATTCCCTTGGCCCTGAAAGAGTCAGCACACAACAGGACAAATGGAGACATTACTGTAGCCGGCTCGAGCAAATCGATGGTTAACGGGAAGTCACATGATCAAGTGAGCTCTCCTTTAAGAGCTGGAGTAGTCAGATTTGACGTTGAATCCTGGTTGTGCCAGATACTTCATGACTTGGTAAATCACTTCTCCCGACCTACCATTAAGCATCCGGAGAAGAGAGTAATTGTCAAGATTAAACAATTACAGGCCATGCACCCAATATGCAAAATCTGGGTCTAAATATAAAACTTAATTGGTAATTATTACCCCCAACCCTACCCTGACTTCCTCTTGCCTTCACTTTTGCTTTTCCCTCTGAGGCACGCTTACTGACAAATTGTTGTACATTTATTTGTTAGCAGCACCATTAACTGTCTTCATTTTCCCCTTTAAAATTTCCTCAATTAGGGGCTGGAGCGATAGCACAGCGGGTAGGGCATTTGCCTTGCACTTGGCCGACCCGGGTTCGATTCCCACCATCACATATGGTCCCCCAAGCACCGCCAGGAGTAATGCCTGAGTGCATGAGCCAGGAGTAACCCCTGTGCATAGCTGGGTGTGACCCAAAAAGCAAAAAAAAGAAAAAAAAGTTCTCAATTAACTTTCTATAGATGTATTTTTGCTCGATCGGGCCCAGTAACATCTCCATTGGAGATTTTGTTGTTACTGTGTTTGGCATATCGAATACATCACGAGTGGCTTGTCAGGCTCTGCCGTGTGGGTGAGATACTCTCGGCAGCTTGCCGGGCTCTCTGAAAGGGGCGGAGGAATCGAACTCGGGTCGGCCATGTTGGCTGCGCACAAGGCAAGCGCCTTACCGCTGTGCTATCGCTCCAGCCCCACAAAAACAAAAAGAACTATTTCAACAACTAAGAACAGCAAAGCGAGCTGAAGGTAAGGGTTAAGGCACCTGCCTTGGTGGACCCATGTGACCCCCAGTACCACACAGGGTTCCCCCCAAGTGCCCCCAGGGATCACTCCTGAGACTCTGCCAGAGTCTGGAAAGATCCTCGATCACCTCCAGGTTAGACAAAAAAAAGAAAAAAAAATCCTCAAACCCTGCCTCCTCTCCCAAAAAAGACAGGGTAACAAGGGACCCTAAACCAAGGCATTCTGATATGCTGAATATTTTGAACAATGCCTGTGAAGGACTTAGTAAAAGCATATACTAAAGGGAAAGGGTAGGGTACATTGTGCACTGTGTGAAAGAACTCGTAGTGGCTGGACCCTTTGGTGGTTTGAACCTCATTCAGTAGCCAGCCATGCCCTTAACAAACCTTTCTAAAAAATCTACTAAGCAATACCACTAGTCATAATCTAGACAGACTGCAAAATCAAGCTGGGGCACCTGTATTCACTGTGTTTATTAGCTTTACCTTGAAAAATACTTTCCATTTGGAATGGGAAGACTAGTAGAATGGAGCTCTGAAGGAGTTAGAGGAATCTGAGGTATCTAACTGATGTAACCTTAGACCAGACTATGGGAACTGAGCAATATCAATACACACATCTGAGATCCAAATCAATATCACACACTGAAGATCCAATAGAAACACTTTATTGAATGTCCTTCTAATCCGTATATTGAGAAATGAAAATCAAGCATCTCAAATGTTTTTATATTTATTATATGTGCATATTCAAACACAGAAGTCTTAAATCTTTCATAAATATCTTTCATAAATGTTTCATATTTATTCATACACATTTTAGTCCATGCTCTTTGGTCATTCGGTATTCATAACAGACTTCATAGTCATCTGAGGGAAGTTGGCTGTGTCATCAATCTTGATTTTACCTATAAAATGGCTAATAATGGATTTTCATCCTGCAGTCACAGTGACTATTGAAAAATACTATGGAGGTACAGTGATCTGTTATCCTAAGTGATTCTAAAATAATACAAGTAATTTTTTTAAAGTTTTTCCAAATACATTCTGCCCTTAACTTAGTTTTTAATCTCCTGAGTGTCAAACCAAACTTTGTTTCTGAAATGCTGCAGTTAGTAAGAACCACTAAATAAATGAGGAAGTGGGACTTTCTACTGCTAAGACAAGGCCATGGAATTGGAAACGTGAGGTCACAGGGCAATAGCATGACTTACAGCATGACGGTGTGATAGCAGCAAATTCCACAAACTTATAGTATCCTCTAAAATTTGAGGAAGGGTATTTAATTTGTGTTTGGAGTGTAATTCTATTTCTGACCCCACCCTATTCTCATCTCAGATACTCTGGGTGATGAACAGCAAATTGGAGAATGTGCTTCACTGACTAAAGGAACAGACACTGAAGGGAGGAGATGTCATTTTGCCTGAGGTACTCTCGGTGGCTTGACATGGCAAACCAACTACTCCCAGACAATACAAGAGGCCTCACTAAGACCTCCCACCAAAGATGTCTGCCCCTGCATTGTCATGCCCCCTTATGCCTTTGACACTATATTTCTCAGTGCCTTATCATAATGCACTCAATGAAATTTAATTTTTTGAAAATTCAAATAATGTATCTAATAGAATTATAGAGAGCAGCAATACTAAAACTTAAAGTAAAATGTTTTGATCTATAAAATGCTCTATCTAGAATTTGAACTGCTTTAATTGAATCTTTGTAGTATAAATCTACACCACTATCATGAGTGATACATGTTTATTCCAAGGTCTCTCAAATTTTAGTTTCAGAAAAAGCAGCCTCTTACCGAATTCAATTTTTATTCATGGTAGTAGGCCTATTCTAACTTTCCTTGGAACAAGATAAATATCAATCAGCATCACTTCTTAAAAATGGTCTAGTATTATCAATACTGCATTTTTCATATGCAATGAGTAGCTTTTAGTCATTTGCTCAATAATATTTTGAACATTACCAAAATTGTTACTGAACTTCTTTATAATCTTCCCCAACTGGTCATTTTTAAATAGTTATTCCTTCTCACTCCAGGTACTAGTATTCCTGAGAATACATACTTGTGACAGTCTTATGCACATACATATAGATACTTTATCAATTACACACAAACATTCAGTACATTACATTCAACACATTTAAGGGCACCATAATTGGAACAGATGCGCTCATCTGCAAAATCTCAGTAGTTCCAGTATGAAAACATTCTCACTCTATAAGGCCCTCAGAGTGGAGACTTTTTTGCATGGTACAACATTACTTAGCTTATTGAAAAAGATTTCCTACAGACATCCATAACACTAGAGTGAAGGAGTCAAGCTAAAAGGCAGACAGGCCAACATAATAATGTTCAAAAAAGCCTAAGACTTTAAAAATATATATATAAAGGTATTTAAGATTCTTATCAGATATTTAACAATCTACTTTGACTCCTTTACTTTTAAAATATTTGATACAATTAAATGAAGATAATTTGAATCAAGAAGCAAAGAACTGGAACAAATTTGCACATAAAGACTCAGATAGCCCAGACACTTGTAATTACTAAACATAAGGCCTCTAACACTAATTGAGCAGCATAATTTGTAACAGGTGAAATACATAAGCTTAAGAAGAACCATAGAACCACTTGTATGTATATTTCTGCACTTGAGAATTAATTCAACATTGAGTGTAAATGTTCTGAAAATATCATAAAACACAAAGGAGACTATGTACCACTTCTATTTTCTGAAGTTTAGATCAGTTTTGCCTTTTATCTTTAGCTCATTCTCTTAGTGAAAGGGCCCAAACCCCAAATTATATTTGAAAGTATAAATCACAATATAAACAATGCCTATCTAATAAGCAATTCTAACAAAAAAATAGCTTTTCTTTGTGATTTGGGTATGTTTAATAGCTCTCTTCTATATAGATATATACATTCTATAGCTAATGTAATTAAAGTTTAAGCATATAGAATGTGTTTTAAAGTCATGGCCATATAACCAAAGTCTTTATTTAACTTTAACTGGAGGACTAGAAAACACACGCACACACATACATACGTGAGCACATGTGCTCATGTGCAAGCACACACATCACTACCACCACCATACCAATCTGTATGTATATGAGTTGTTGTGTACTTCATTGTTATATGTTTCACTGCTATATAACAGTTTTCTAGTATAAAATTTTGACACACATTCTTGGACTCTGTGATACCAAGCCCTACTATGGGATCAATAATACATTAGATATGGCCTCACAAGACTTCTAAACTTTATGCTTTTCTTGAAGTAGTTGAAATTTCAGGGTAAAGTACACACTTCATAGAGTGTGTCTATGAAGACATTGCTCACTTTATATTTTCTTCCTCATAAACTTAGATGTCCAAAGGATCATAAGAACATTATCAACATTGAGGAAAAAGTTATTGTATTGAACCAATCCTAACAATAATAACCTTAATATCTGAAAATATGCCCTGAGGGCAGGCACTGTATGCTATAAGAAAAAGTAATCACATTTCCCAATATTTCCTAATCTTGGCATTGATGTAGTTAATGCTACATATAGAAATGCCATCTCTTTCTAGCTATGATATTTACATTTAGTTCTTACCCGGTACAGGCTGTTTATATCCTTCATAATACCTAATTATGTCTGATAATTTCTAGAATAGTCTCTCTTTATTGTGACTGGTTATTAGACGAAAGGATCTTATGCTATAGCATTTTGATTAGAAAATGCGGTGAAAATGACAATTCAAAAAATAAACAATGAAATATCAGCCCTGAAAATGGTGCTTTTCCTCCTTGTAAATGGCTATGCCATTAATCAAAACAAAAATGGCTACAGGCTTATTATTCAATTTTCCTAAACTAATATTTTTCTTATTGATTGTTTTTATATAACTTGCTACTTGGATAACCACCTGCTCAATATTTTGAAACTATAAAAATACATATTTGCATGAGATGTATATAATGTGAACAACCTCCAAAAATTGTATCTTTAGAACATATTATTTGCTAATAAACCTAAGTAACTCTGTAATAGATAAGTAACATTTTTAACTACTCAAGGCTTCTTGAATCATAAACAATGTGCAGTGAAATGGCTCTTTCCCCTTTTTGCTCCCTGGTTTTTATGGTCTTCAGAAACCAAATCATGTTAGCCATTGATTTTTATAGATGTTTATGAAACAATATGTGCATGAGCAACACAATCTATGAGATCTGTGCCACTCATAGGATGTAAAGTGCTGTTTTGTTTTTTTTCCAAGCAAAACTGTCCAACTTCTAGCAAGATCATCTTTTACATCTTGTTTATACTTGTAACTCTTAACAAGATAAAGAATTAAACATGAGACTCATCTAGGTCTATATTAGCATCCCCCAGCTCAGTTGGAGAAAAATTGAACTGGGTGGTGAGCAGGGGATTCTCCATGCCACTCTCCTCATTGATGTGTAGGACGGTATCTCCATGCTGTAAGAGGATGGATGTCTCAAGGCCGGAGAAGTCATCAGGGGCTGCAAGTTGAGCAGAGAGAAGACTGTGTGCTGTGGCCCCCTGTACTTCTGCGTCCTCCTTCTTTTCTTCTTCAGTGTGCAGGGCCTCACTCTGTGATCAAAAGTATAAAAACAGCACGGAAAAGTAAGAGAGATAAGTACAGAAAGAAAATAAACCATGCTGTTGTCTAGCTGTACCTGAACTCACAGGCTGGTCCCTGTGCTAACCTTTATATACATGAGCTCTTACATACGACATTTTGATGTTCTAAGCATCAGCTTTCCTTTGCCTTTTCTTTTATCCCTCTGGACTTTTGGGTCATTTGGCAGTAGTCAGGACTTATTTCTGGTTCTGTGCCCAGGGATTACTCCTGGCTATGCCCCGGAAACCATATGATATGTAGGGAACCAATCCAGGTAGGCTGTATACAAGGCAAGAACCTTAACTCTTAAACTATCTCTCCAGCACAAAGCCTCAGTTTCCTCACCTGTCATATCAGCTTATCCTGCATGTTTTATGAGGATAAAATGCAACTGTGAGAATAAGAGGATATAATGGTTTCTAATGATATTTAAGTAATTTAGGACTATACATAGTAGTAGTACTGTTGCTTTTTAAAATCCCACACTCATAGAACATGGGACCTATTGACATTTATTTATAAAAATAAAAAGAACCAAAAATACATAAAAACAATGGGAAAGAATAAATTTATGAGAAAAATCCAAATAAATGTCTTCTTATAGGATCCAGACAGCCTTCTTATTTAAAAGCTTCATCTAAACTGCTTATTTTATCTTTGTTATTATGCTATGTTTTTCATAATAAAGAACATACACTCTCTTAGTCACCCTTTTTTTGTTTAAATACTTGAAATTTATTGTTACTTCTGTTCAAGTTCTCAAGCAATAAAAATAGGAAACATTTTGAATTAGGGAATACATGGAAGTCAAAAATTAAAATGACAGTTCTGGTCTTCTTTGTTGTTGTTGTTGTTTTTTTAGACCAAACCCCACTGTGCTCAGAGCCTATTCCTTACTTACTGTGCTCAGGGATCACTTCTAGTGCTACTCAGGAGATTATATATGATATCTAAGATCAAACCTGCACCAGTCATATGTGACAAGTGCCTTATCCCCTATATTATCCCTTTGATTCCCATTATTCTTGAACCCCAACCTCAACTACAAAGTACTGCTAAAGTGAACAAAGAATCTATTTAGTAAGTCGTGTTAAATTTTAGTTAGAAAATTTTTATTCGTTGACTTTAAACTTTATTTCAGGCACTATGGTTTATAATATTAATAAAGGCAGGGTTTCATACATAGAGCAATCCCACATCATGGCTTCTACCAGAGTGTCAGCTCCCCTCCATCACTGTCCCTGTGTTTCCCTCACCCAGCACTTCTGTCCTTTCCTATCCCCCTCCTGTAACATGCTTTTATTAAAGAAAAGTTCTTAGTTTCTGTTGCTTTGTTGGGATATTTGTTGTTTCTGTACATTTTTTAAATACCACATATAAGGAAGATCATTCTGTATCTCTCTCTCACCCTACTCATCATATATTGTACATATGCCCATGTACTCCCTGGCTAACTAAAACATGTTACTGACAACGACTTAACTTACACAGAATACATTTGTGTATCCAAGCTGTTCTCATATATAAATATGAAGGGAGCAAACCTGTCTGTTCCTGTAGTGTCCTTACCTGCTTGGGAGACAGGCTGTGTAGATCAGCAACAACAATAGCAGGTGAAGAAGTAAGAACTGGTTTGTCTACTCCCTCTGGTTTCTTATGTGGGGCTGGACTACAGCCCTGCGGTGGGCCCCCAGCAGGAAGTGTATCTGTTGGGGCAACTACTGGCTCCGGCTGCGTTTCAATGAAGGTCACAGACCGCTTCTGATCTGCTGTAGGTCAGAAGTAAAGCAGTAAGTAGGGGAGGAATTAGAATAAATCAATTGCCACTGGTTAATAATTAGTTTAGCCAATGTCTTCTGGCTTTTGTTAGTAAGGATATTTATTAATAAGTGAGAGTTGAACTTAAATAGACAAATAATTTTTTCTATGTAAATGGACTTAAAATAACATATCTGCATACATACCAACAGGACTTACATGTCCCTGGTATTCAACATTTCTTTGTCTTCAGTAAGGAAGACATTACAAACCAATCAGTAACTTGCATAAAGGAAACACAAGCTTCTTTAGTCAAATTTCACAGCATTATGAGTAACCTTGGGCTCATCCATATCTCTAGACTCACTGGGGTTGGGAAGGAGGTCAGGGAAGGTAAGAAGAAAAAAATAGCTCAATGGTTTTCCGGGAGACTTTTCCCCTTATCTTAGTGCCTCCCCCAAGCCTGTGCTTCTCTGCTTGAGGTCTGAGCTCAGTTCTCACAGACCATTCTGGCTGAGTTGTGCAGCCAGTCAATGGGTGAGTCAGAGAGGACACAGGAGGCCTCACCAGCTGGCTTCGTTTTAGGTTGAATGCTCCTGCGAGTGGTTGACAGCCGAGCCGCATGCCGGTTTTTGGGTTCAGTCTGAGTCTTCTGACGTGAAAGCAGAGGACGTCTTAGCTAAAGAGAATAGGCAGAATAGAGCTGGCAAGAAGAGTCCCAACGACCCGGGAGGAAACTCTCTACTCAGAGGATTCTATTATTTGCTCCTTTCTTTATGGGTGTCTGCAGATTCTTATGGTTTTTGTAGTCAATAAAATAAACATTTGGCCTAGAGAAGCCAGGGTATATCTCAGTAGAAGAGCATATGTGTCAAATGTAGGACTTTTTACATTCTGATTCTAATACCTCCCCTCACTCCATAACTACTTGCAAATTTATCTCAAAGAATTTGGTTCTGATATAACCTTTACTTCTTTCAATTATTATTCTTTTATATGTCTTTATAATCTTTATGTGTCTTTATATATCCCAATGACTCTATATATCTTATATACAGTTGCTGGGAAATATGAGTAAGAAGAGGCTGCTAAAATCTCAGGGCTGGATGAATGGAGACATTACTGGTACCCACTTGAGTAAATCGATGAACTCCGGGATGACAGTGATACAGTGATATATCTTAAGAATGTTAATATAGCTTCTTATGAGTCAATATGAGAATGCCTTTGAATTTGGAAAAGAAAAATAACTGTGGCTAACCTCTCAGCTGCTGTTCTTCTAACAGAACAACTATTGTTACTGAACAACTGCTAACTTGAAAGGTGAGGTTGGTGACGCAACTTGAGATTCTGGTATCCAAATCAATGCTGAGAAGTTTCAATCAAACGAACAGTATAAGATCTCCTTTAGATTTTTACTTTACATTATTGTTATTATTTTTATTCTATAGGTACTAATTATTTTTAAAATTTTGACTTGACAGCTATATAAGGAAAATCTATCTAAGGAAATTTGTAAAAATGAATTTTACTTTGATCTCAGTTTCAAATTGAATCATTAATCTTGAAATGAGAGAAAGAGTCACTGTGTCTCTACATCTTTAAAGAAACAGTCTCAAAGTCAACAGTAGAGGAAATCTTCCTTGCTTAGTAAGACGGATTAGGAAGGGTTTCTGGGAAGAAAGAAATGGAAGAAGAGATCCACTTATTTTGCATAGCAATTAGCTTTGCTAATGAGTCAAAGCTAAAACAGAAAAGAAAAATTCTTAACTTGAACATGCACTTACCATGCTTTAAAGTTTCTCTGTACTGCTTATTTCAAGTGGGAAGAAGGCAAAACATAATCTTAATATACATCAGCACTAAATAAGCACTAAAAATTGAATAGCACTTCCATTTTCTAGGAGGTCTTCCCTGTCCTGTCAGGGTGTACTTACTTGTCTTAAGCCCCTCTTCCTCCCCAGAGGCTGCTGAATGAGGAGATTCTGTTGGCCAGGTTCACTCTGTACACTTGCCACCCTGTCAAGCATCAACAGTGTTAGCGAACCCTGGAGAAAGTGCAGAAGCTCATCCTCTGGTGGGTGTTAGGCAAAATCACTTATATGGAATAAACACTTCAAAGATACCATGATCTTTGAAGGAAGGTTGGGAAAGAGTCCTGGGATGGGAGCTTTCAATGGGTTGGGATGGAAGATGAGGCCTTGTAGCCTCAAGCTGCCAAAATTGAGATTCTGTTTTTAATCATTCACGCCATATCTGTTATTCAGCAAAATACTGGTTAAATCACAACCCTAGTTTGGAAGCCACCAAAAGTTTTGAAATATCACATTCTAATCTCAATTTTTTTCCCAAGGGGACAGAAAAGGTGGTGACAAACAAACACAAATGACTTCATCACATGGATGGGAACACCATTTTTAAAATTTCAATTTAAATGAAAATAAGATGGACAGATATCAAACACATCAGACACAGAATCCATTTGGGTGAAGGGGTACATTCAACACATGTTTGCAGCCTGGAGTCTGTGACTACTGAGGAAATGAATAGTCACAGGGTAGACAAATGATTTTTTAGAAAGGGTTTTCAATTTTTAGGCTGGCAAAGTAAGCTGTTAATACAACTCAGAAGCTTTAATCTTGAATAGATGCACTCAAGTATATCACGAGATACATAAAAGCAAAACTCTGCTCCCCCCAAATTACTGTGTGTGAGTGTCTTTTTTATGCAAAAAAACTACTACAGGAAGTGGTCACTATATTAGTGTTGGGTGAACTTCCATGGGCACATGATCTCTTTTCATTCTGCATGCATGAACGTAGGTGTTTATAATGGGAGCAAGGGTGAACATAAATGTATTGTGCCCCCAGAGAACACTGTAATTCTATGAGTGATGCCAATGTGACTATTTGGTAAATGAGTTAATAATTTCTGCTTTGCCTTTGCAAAAGGAGAGTTATCTAGAGATAGTTTTTGGAATAAAATACTCCACAGAGAAATCCAGAGTCAGCAACTGTCCAGGAACAGGAGAGACTATATAGATTCACTTTCATTTAAAAATATGTTACCTAAATACTGCGCTGAGGCTACAGGAAGAGAAAGAAGTGGCAAGATGGACACTCAGTTATTTCCCCTGTTGTGTTAACAGCTGGTTAATCATCACATGGTTGACACAGTCACATATGTCATTGTTTAAAAGCCTAACTTATGTATCCACTAGAAGAAAATCAATGATTCCTAAATGGACTTCATCAAATATTTTATTAAATAAAGGTATATATATATATATACACACACATATATATATATGTGTACCATTATTGTACCATTTAGGATATACAACACAAAATCCCATAAACAATACAAAAAATAAGTCTTTTAAAATGCTTTTGTTTTCCCAAATATGAAATTTTTAAAAAATCAATGTGACCTTATACCATATTTGACTTTTCTATAAAGATGAAAAATTACCCCAAAGAAACAATGCAAATAATTCTGATAAGTAATCCAAGCTATGTTGCTGGTATGTTTGAAGTGACATCTGCTCATTAATTAAACATTTTAAAATGTGTCTTAAACTGCAAAAAGGTTCAGTTACCATATGCACAAAAGTAGAAACAAGTTTCTCCCATATACCAAGCAAAGCTTCATTGAAATGGATTCTTCATTGACATCTAAATGTTACCTCAGTTCCCTTGGCCATAAAGGGAGGTCAATACTTACCACCTACCTCCCATTAAGGTAGAGAAAAGAAGTTAGTTGATGTAAAATGGTTTGAAAATGAAAAATGATGTCTATAAGCATGCTTTCTTGTTCTACATTTGATATTTGTAATGAGTTTATTGCTTCTGGGACATTGAAAGGACGTGGGCAATAAAATATATTGAAAATAATTGGATAGAGAAAATGAAATCGAGGCAGTCCACTTGTCTCATTTTATTCAGTAATAAGCTATTGTGAGAAAAATGGTATAAGAAAAGAAAAGAAATACACATTACTCAGGGATTGTTAAATGCCAAAATGTAATGGAAATTTTGTGATGATTTATTCCAAAGGGTAATCAAAAATTTCTCTATGGATAGAGAGGCTTATATCTAAGAAATGGATCAAATTGATAGTTTTTGTAATAAGCTGTTCTATGCAAATAACATAATATTTTATCAATGGAATGTACACATAAAGAAATTATAGAACATTCCATGGAAAATATCCCAGCTAATAAAATATCATCTCCTCCCTGAAAATCTGATACTAACATTTGTATTTGTAAGTCCTGGCTTAACTGTGTAGAGCTAGAACAATTAATAAATAGCCAGAGAATTTAATAATAGAAGTAATTTATAAAGAAAACTTCTAATAGTCTACATCAAATCAGAGTCACATGTAAAAAAGTATTTTCAATTTAGCTTCTTTCCATATCATGTTAATATTACATGCATTGGTATGAGTTGTAATATGCAATTGTAGATGTAAAATACTAAACTAGGAGAAAAGTAATATGTTTTCTCTAAGCACCTCTGTAAAACACAGGTTTTCTAAAATTTTTAATCTTGGGAATGACAAGTGCTAGTTTCTACTAGTTAACCAAACAACGGGTAAAACTACAAGGATAAAAATAAATGAGACTTTCTAAATTGAAACTAAAACGCATCCTCTGTATTTCTGAGTCACTGAAAACCATCACTATGGGAAACCATATAGTGTTCTAGACTAGAGAAGTAAATGTAACTGGGGCTTGGCAGAACACTTGACTCAACTCTACAAAAACACAAGCACCTTATTTACCAGGAAAGAAAATAATGTATAAGCTAGAAAAATTTAGACAATGTAAGGAGAAAAAATTTGGCATCAATTACCTTTTTAGCCCTTCATTCAATTTAATTGGCTGGATTATGGTATGTAATATAGATGCATATCCTAATTAAATATATGTTTTTTCTTAAAGGGGAAGTGAAAAAAAGAGCAATTTAATAATGCAATGAATTCATATCACTCATCTCAAATTACCAAAAATATTTAAATATATTTCATAAATAAAAAATGTAAGTAATAGTATTGAGTGAGATTAGCACACAGAAAATGAATGAGTATTTTTTATTGCTTTATCCTATGTTTTTACTTTCAACTTTAACATGGTTAGAGAAATTTAGAAGTGGAGCACAAGACAAAAAGCATAGGTTTTACCCTGACTGATTGCCTTGTGATGAGAACATATACAGTCAACACCAAAAGAACCAAAAAACATTGTAGAAAGCAGAAAAATAAATAGTACACAAAATGCTAGTTTCCCTCTCTCAATAATAGATCGTTGTTTTAATTTTTTACTTAGCCTCTACAACATCCTAGAAAACTTATTTTAAGTGCTTCAGAATTTAGAGATTAGAGGCTGGAATCAAAATTAAAGGGAGAACAATCTGGCTCTTAGAAAACTCTTAGGAACTGGTTTGGCAATGGCAAAGTATATATCTGTGTATCATAACACACATCTTAGCCATTAATTTTACATTACCCAAAAACGGTTCCCCCATTTTTTTCACTACTTTAAGTAACTTGCCAAGTTTTCATACTTGTAACTTGTGGATAATTGTGAGAGGGTTTTGTTAAGTAAATTGTTCTTATTTTGTTTCATCCAGACTATGCAGTCTTGTTCAAACTTGAGCCACATTCTCATTTTTTCACTATGATTAAATTATTCTTACAGCATCAAATTTCATTTTAATCTCTCTCTTTTTAAAATTAGAGCTGTCAATTCTTGCCTTTCAGGATGCTCTAACGTGTCTAAACAAAATCTAATCCTCAGATGTAAACATGCAAGCTTAAGTGTTTGAACAACCTTTGTATATCTATATTCTTCTGGAGAGAATATATGAACTTTGGGGTGTTTATTCATTGGTAGGCACAGAAAGAAAATATCTACAATGAATTTTTATACCTCTGGAGCAACTATCTCAACTTGAGACTATTTTGTTGGAATACAATTTGAATTTATTCCCCAAAGAAAGAAACTTCTCTCCATCGCATAGGGCTTTTAACGGGTTAATATGTCTTTTGAAAAATCTCTAAAAAAATCAGTTAGTGCAGACTTTTAAAAAATTCTTGAAGAAATTTTGGAAAGATCTGCAAATATTTTATCAATTTTTATCGATTCATCAGATTCTAGGTATCCTAGCTATTCTGGTCTTTTCCTTATTTAACTCTCAGAATAACTTGCCCATTATGATGAAAACAAGTGCTCCTTCAACATCAAATAACCAAAAGGTAAATATGGGAAAGTGGTAAGAGAAAAACCAGAGTTTATTTTTTCTTCCCTCAGGCATATTTTCTGATATGCATCTTTGGAGCCAGATTTTCCTTGGGACCAGTTTGGGTTAACTGTAGGTGCTGAGTGCTCACATGTAAGCTAAAATTAATTTACATAGTTATTACCTTACTGTTTCCCTGTTTCCCTAGTATTTTAAGCATCTGCAGCATTAAAGATGTTCCATGCCAAAAGCAATAAGGCCTTGACACCAAACATAAAAAGTTATATTATTTTATGAACCCACCTCTTAGGAATAGGAAATGCCAAAAGTTCCTCTCCTCCAAAGAGAACTTGGTGACAGGATGGGATCAAGAGATACAGTTGGCAGTGTATGGCAAAGGTGGATGTGCCAGCAACTGGTAGAATGATTCTGAACTAATAAAATTACTTAGAATCCAAAGTGGATGCCTTGTCTTTTTTTTTAATGACCACCACCGATTCTAGGTGAATGATTTTCAGAACTAAAATGCAACAATCATGGGAGCATCAAATCAACAATTGACCTAAAACAGTCATCAAAGTCCGGACATAACTAATTCAGTTGTAAATAAAATCAATAGCTTTAGCATCTGAACCAGTTTCATGTAGCAAGAAGTTTGGCATTTTTTCCCCATTGACAATGAATGAAGGACAGAATGGATCAGTTTAGACACTCCAACTCAGTGACTTGAATTCTGAGGCTGGCAAAGGAGGCAAATCCTTTGAGAAGTTCACAAATACCAATTCAGACTTTTGCTTTCTTTCAACTATTCTAAGTGTTTAACTCAGCAAGAGTAAAATTCTTACAAATTTGAAAACCCCAATACAAAATGAGCTAAAGAGAAGTCTGGTTTTATATCTTCTCATCTACTCATAGTAAGACATGGGAATTGTCTTCTAATCAAGGTTCTCCTCTCACATAAAATTTTAAGCATTAAACAAATTCATTCTTTGAAAGTAGTGATCATGGTGCTAGGCTTGGTTCAGATTTCATCAAATACTCTGAACAATGAAGGGAAACCATCTTGAGGACTGTTTTGCTCTTTGTCCTCTAAAGCTCTAGATACGGGAGCTAAGTCAGCAGTATGCAGCACTTCCACATTTACCATCAAAGAAGAAAGACTGATCTGTCAAGGCAAGGGCTCGCAAACACAAATGAATGTCATGAATTATGGACCACTTTAAAAAAAAAAGGCTACACCTGATGATGGACTAAATTTCCCATTTTCAATAGCAAAGAAAATGTGAAATTAGAACAAGATGCGAAATATACATCAGACAACCTTTCACAGGAACGCCTCTCAACATTTCCTCATCTTTGTGAGAAAGCAATAAACACTATGCATTGTACTCACTACAGAATGCAAACCTGGAAGGGAATGTTTTCTCTTGAGGTGGAACAAAGGCACTCTTAGAATAAACAAGAAGCATTACCCCTAATGAGGATTAGTTGAGAGGTATGAATCAACAGCACAAGATTAGGAATGTTTGACCTGGTTTATCTGAGTGTTAAAGGTGCAGTCCGCCGCCTTTCTGTAACTTTAAACCAAATAGCCAAGATGTTATGCTTTTCTTTTTTGCATATGGAGACTTGTCTTACCAAGAAATGTTTGTTTCTGATATTTCATGGCAAGTTTGGGAGTCATCTTTGTGCTGGGACAGACATTCTTTATATAAGTGCTATTTGAACAAGCTACTATAATAGCCTGCCACATAGCATGCAGCACAAAGAGGGAATTACATAAATTATATCCACATTCCTACTCTTATTATAGAATCATTGTTAGTTTTCTAACCATCCCTGGTATTAGCTAAAAGACCTGTCTCAATTTAATAAGGGGCTTCCTGATGATGGGGTGCTATATTAGAGGGCTTCTCAAAAACAATTCTTAAGGAATATCAGTGTGGGAGGGCATGAGTAAATGGGATAAATTTAACATTTGGTATATCAAACGTTTTAGACACTCATGGGACAAGCCCTTAAAATAATACCACAGGATTTTTGTTCTGTTTTGTTTTGGTTTTAAAGAAAGCAAACGGGCTATTTTGATTGAGCTCTGAAACTGAAAATGAAGGAGGCTACACCTTTGACTTCCAGGCTCTTGTGTTCATGAGCAACAAAGGGCAAGGAATGGAAATAGATACCAAACGGGCAAGAGGAAGACAGAGAGACAGAGAGACAGAAGAGACAGGGAACGGCGAGTTTCCCAGCACAGACACCAATAGACAGGTAGCATTGACACTGTACCTAGAGAGGCTGCCCTCGGCGGCCAGGCCCTGGGAGTCATCGAGGACATTAGGTTCACTGCAGGAGGGGTAGGGAGATGAAGCATTTAGGGAAAGAAAATGCAAACAAATAAAAGAAAAAGAAAAAAGGCATGCAATTTTCTGCTTCCGAGAACCAAAAATAAATTGAACAGAACAAGGAAGGAAAAGGAGACAGTCAACCATTTCACCTTGTGCTGGGTTTGTCAAGACATAGGACTCAAGGCAATGGGGGAGGAGAGACTTTGGATGGATACGACTCTCTGAGGAGTGCTCTATCTATGGGTCAAGAGTTGGAATTTAAAATGAGCTCCAAATAGATATGTGAGCTCTGAAACACACGGGAGACCAAGAGGTAGATGATAAGAACTACCCTTGCTTTGGTAACCATTTAATTGGGTGCTTATGTTGAACTTATTTATATGATGCTTCATTTACAGTGTATGACACTGTCATATGGAAACCACTTACCATGAACTGATGCCATTAAGAGAGGCAAAGAAAGAACCTAACTCCACTGTTAATTTTGCAATGAGAATGCAAATAAAGGGAAGGATGATAACTTTGGAAAAACTCATATGAAACTTCCCTTACTTCCTAATTCCATCCTTTATTCACTGAATTGTAAATGTTAAAGGAAGAAACCTGCTCAATTGGGCAAAGGATAGTTTACTGATTTGTTTGAATATAGCTGATTTGGAGACTTGAAAAGAATTATTTTATGCTTTGTCTTTGATTTCCTTTAGTCCCTAGCATTGAGCTTAGCACTCACGAGGTACTCAATAAGTATTTATTAAGTTGAATGGAATTAAACTATTTAGAAAACTGAAATGCCTCCTTGCCTTCCTCAAAGAATACAGGTTCATTTAATTGCATATTGCTAAAATTGCCTCTGTCCCAAAAAGGGTCCCTATTTCTCTAATGTACATCAACATTATTGCCATTAATATCTTCCAAAATATGACTCAAATAAAAAGGATTTAACCATATTATTTTTATGGATGTCTAATATATCCATATTAGAACATATATCCTCACTGTCAATGAGTTAACCCATTTATATATATACATGTTAAAATATATATATAAAATTTGTGACCTAGATATTTTAAACAAAAGATCAAAAATATTCTTTAAAAGTGCTATAATTTCATAGTTTAGTTAAAACTTAAAAAAAATGGTAACTACTCATATTAACTGCTTATATGACTTTTGGGGGGTATTATGTAAATTTTTCTCTCTGATTTTATTTATATTTTATTTATGACTTACTTTTAACAATAAGTTAACAATGATAAAATAATATTTTACATTGAAGCAACTTTTATATATTAATTTTGCAATAGCATTTCGTTTATAAGTATGAAATTCACTTATTAATCCTCCTTATTACCTTTCCCTATTTTTTGTATGCCACAAAATTATACTTAATTTAACAAATTTTATTTCATTTGTGTAGTTCATAAAAATGCTCCTAGCAGAAATTTAGGGTAGAAGTTAATTTTTTATAAACATACTTATTTTACTTGAATATTATAATGTGCCCTTATTTTTTGGTGATTATGTATGGATTATAGCATTTAAACTATAGTTATTATAAATAAAAATAGATAAAATACAAAAGGATACATTTTTTTAAAATTCAGTTCTTGAAATAAAAATATCATTGGCTCTGAAACAGATTTTTTGTGTCTTATTATTTGTTTTTGTTTTGTTTGGGGGCCACACCCTGTAATGCTCAGAGCCTGTTCTTGGCTCTGCTCTGAGGAATCACTCCTGGCAAGCTGAGGGATGCCAGGCCTTGAACCCAAATTTGTTTGAGGCAAATGCCCTACTCATTGTACTGTATCTCAGGTCCCATTTTGCGTCTTATGTCAGGTCATTTTCTATATCAGACTTTATGTGTTTTAGCCGTTTTTATATACATATTCTTGTTTTGTGACTACAGTGGTGCTCAGGGCTGACTTCTGGCTCTACACTCAGTGATCACTCCTGGCAGGATTGGATTGGACCATTTAGGGTGCAGTGGATTGAATCCGAGTTGGGTGTGTGCAAGGCAAGTGCCTTATACACTGTACTATCTCTCCACTCTATGCACTTTATGTACATATTCTTAGAGGTCAGAGAACACACAAAATGTTTTAAAGAGTTTAGTTAGCAAACCTCCTCATTTCGAGAGGAGAAAACTGTGATTTCTTTTTTAAATAATATGCCCAAGATCACAGATAGGTATAGACCCTTTTCTATTTGGCTGAAAATATCACTACCTCCAACTGAACACTATTGTTTTACCTGAATTCTAAGCTTCGCCAAATATATCAAGCCAGTTCTATACACTTGCCTGTTACTACTGTTAGTAGGTTAATGATATATCTGAAGCATCAGATGTTACATACCACCCAAGAGGACTACCTTGTATCTATTTATGAAAAAATTTTAAGGAGAAGCTGCTCATCTCTTAGGTCAGCTCAGAAAACACTTTCTAAAACTCCTGCTTGTACAATCTCAGCTGGTAAGTCTTTCGCTGAATGTTCTACTTAAAAACATTATGGATTATTTCCTTCTCTATTGACCTTCCAGAAAGCAGGAGCAAAATTTCAGAATGTCTACCTCCTCTTCCCCTTCATCCCCAGAGGCAGAGAATAAGATATACATGGCCCTTTACCTTTGGCTGGGTAACATGCCCACCTCAGCCTGAGGTGCAGACATGCTAGAGACGTGGCTGGAAAACCGCCTCCTTCCTCCAATGGTACTCAGGAGGTAAGCTTCTTGTTCACTTACCACACTGGGCATGCTCACAGAATCATCTGAAAGGGTAAGGAGAAGTGGTATAATACAGAATTGAGAATCCAACCAGATTTGTACCATCTTTGATTTGAACACAACAAGAAAGCATGCTTTAAAGTTAATGTCCCTTTGTACAGACTAAAAAGTAAAGTATGTGGGCTGGCATTTAAAACTGTGCAAAGGGAAAAATAATAATTGTTTCCATTAATATCACCTCCCCTCCTGAACAGCTTTCATGCAATAAATGTTAACTTCTTGTTCATTTTTCACAAGTAGATTATTTGTAAACAGTAGGGGGTACCTGAAGTAAAATTTTGGAGAAGCTGAACTACAAATTTTAAAGCACTCTAATTTTAATTAAAGTTTAACCATGTAATCTTATTTTTGTCATAGAAACAGCAATTATTACATTCAAATTTATATGAACATTAAGTTCTACACTTATTCTAAGTGAGCTAATGTTTTTTGCTGAATAAGGAACTTGATTTTGTTATCATTCTTAGGCACTGACAGTACAATTTGCCATGCATTAGATAACAGAGCATTTTAAAAACACAATAAGAAAATAAGCAACTAAAAAACCCCATTAAATGAGAAGTGTTTAGTAAAAACATTTAACATTCACTATTAAATGTCTACCGATAAGTCGTACATATGAAATCTCTTCCTCACTGTATTTCTCCTAATTTCCAATGATCAAATCTCAAGTATGGGTGCTATAAACTCTTTGGCTCCCTAGTGATTAGAAACATTCAACTCAAATTTCAGTTGTGGTCCTTTAAAATCATTTGTTTGTTCCATTATAGCTGGTTAGCTGACAGAAAGACATTTGTGGTTCCAGGAGAGCACTGCTCACTTTTCCTTGCTCGATAGGGTCATCAAAGTGCTGATGAACTCAGCAAGATGTTAGGAGAAAGGAAATAAAATTTTCTTTAGTTCCTTAATTGCAATTTCAATGGGAGTTATATAAACAAGAATATTTAGGCCTTTACTTTACTTTTATTTAGGGGTCACTAAAGATGCACATTTTGCTCGAATTCCTTTCAAATGACTAAAGATATAAAGGAATTTAAAGAACAGAAATGGGAATCGTGAAATCAATCACAACTTCATTGTGAATCATTTCTGTAAAAGTGACAAGGGAAGGGCCAGTAATAAAGTTCAGGGGTTAAGTCATTTGCCTGTACATGGTCAACCCAAGTTCAATTCCCTCTACAGCCAGGAGTGATTCCTAAGTACAGTGCCAGGAATAAACCCTGAGCACAGTGAGTATGCCTCCACTCTACCCTACAAACGACCAGTAGATCAGAAATGGTAAATAAATAAATAAAATAAAAATAATAGGTCAAACTTTCTTCCCAAGAATGAAGTGATAGGGGCTGGAGCGATAGCACAGCAGGTAGGGCGTTTGCCTTAACAAGCGGCCGATCCAGGTTCGATTGCCAGCATCCCATATGGTCCCTTGAGCACCGCCAGCAGTAATTCCTGAGTATATGAGCCAGGAGTAACCCCTATGCATCACTGGGTGTGACTCGAAAAGGAAAAAAATAAAAAAGAAAGAAATGATATCCTCTGACCCCGCCATCCCCCTACCCCTGATTTTGCAGGGTGACCTACTTTCCTCATCTTCCTCATCGGTCCGGCTCAGGGTGTCCTGTGAAGCTTGCTGGGAGGGTTCACTGTCCTGCTCCCAGACAGTGCCGGTGCCCGTATTGGAGCGGGACATGGTGGCCAGGCTCAGGCGGTAAGCAGAAGTGGAGGTACCCACGGTACTGATGGACGTCTTCCCTTGATAGGCTGCAGGTCAAGAGGCGAGAAGGAAGCCATGGTAAGAATCTTGAAAGAACAAATATTTGATATGGATGCCTTCCTGACCTCTTCCCAGCTGCCTCTTCTAGAAAAGAGAGTTAAATAGTGCGTCGCCAATAAATGATCTTTTGTTTGTTTTGTCTCTTTGGTTTTGGGGCCACATCTGGCAATGCTCAGGGGTTACTTCTGGCTCTGCACTCAGGAACCACTCTTGGCGAGTTTGGGGAACCATATGGGATGCTGGGGATCAAACTTGGGTCGGGGGGGTAGAAGGCACATGCCCTATATACAGTACTATTTCACCGGCCCCATAAATGATCTTTTAGACAAAGGAAAACAAAAAATGAGAAAGTTTAAAGAATAAAAAAGAATTGGCTGCTGCTGATACAGAATAAAACTGTTTCCTTGTAGGAACGTAACATCTTGAAGAATCTAAAATGTTTAGACATTTCTTCTCCTTTATCACTATTTGATTTCATTTTCCAAGACTGGTGGTTAGAATAAAAAACTAATATCCAGTTCAACTGTGCCATCCACCTTCACATATTTTATTGAGAAATATATCTCACCTGACACAAGCATATAGAAATAATTCTATCTAATGGGAAACTCACACTAAAATCAAATTACATAATTGAAGCATGCTCCCCATTTTTCTTTTTTGGAAATTACACTTATAAATATGATGTCATATTATTTTATTACAAAGCAGAATATTTGACATTGTACAGATTTCATTAAGATTGTATTTGTCATTGATTTGTCTTCAATATAACTTTGCAAATAATAAAAGTTGTAGGAAGTCTGAACCCCTCTTCCTACTACCACATATAGATACAATTATTGTCTACTTATGGGTAATGACTGCCCTCTAATGGTAGGTAATGATTTATTGTCCTCTCTTACTAATTTCTTTCCTCAGTTGAAATAATAAACAATGTACTGCAAAGAAAATATTTTGATTAATGCAGAGGAAACAAAACTCCCAGCTTACAAACTCTAATTCAACCGTCTAGCCAATTTGTGAAAAGATAGACTTTACAATCACTCAGCTAGAACAGGTTTTAAGCATCTTCACTGTCTTAATTTTTTATGCTAATGAGTCTCCTTTCCTCCTCTTTTTTCCTCCCTTCCTTTCTCTCTCACTTCCTTCCTTCCTTTCTTTCCTTCCTTCCTCCTTTATGTCCCACAACCAGCTCAGTGTTCAAGGGAACCACACACTACTGCAAATGGAGCTAGACTCTAAATTCTGTGCCTCACCTCCTGGTCTTTTTTTTTTATTTTATTATTTTATTTCTATTCTATTTTTTTTTTATTTTTCTTTTTTGGGTCACACCCAGTGATGCACAGGAATTACTCAGGAATTACTCCTGGTGGTGCTCAAGGAACCATATGGGATGTTGGGGATCAAACCAGGATCAACTGTGTGCAAGGCAAACGCCCTACCCCCTGGAGCTATAGCTCCAGCTTCTGTTCTTTTTAAGAGAAAATGAAATTAGAATTTAAAGACTTTTCTCCCTAGGTACATATGTGAGAGAGAACTTAATTACAGAATGAATATTTGGGGCTAGAGAGATAGTATAGCAGGTAAAGCTCTTTCCTTGCATTTGGCCTACCCAGATTTGATCCTGAGCACAGATCCAAGAATAATCTTTGAGCATAGCAAAATATGACCCCAAAAGTCAAAACAAAACAAAAAGAAAAAAAGAAGAAACGAAAGAGTAAAAAACTGTTTAGAAAGAAGGTAAAATAACATTCTTCGGGTAACTTGTGATCGCTGTTTTGTGTTGTTATTTATGACATGGTGAAATTTACGAATGTACGAATGTGACTAATTTATCATATACAGTTCCAAAAGGAGCATCAACTAGGTTAGAGGCATTCTTTGTAGGCTGTGAGTTCTACTAGTGAAAGAAAATAAATTCTAAACACCTCATCCATCCTCACCTGATCCACTGTGAACTGCCTCTTTCAGAATTTTTAGCTCACTGTTGAACTCAGCGATGAGGGAGCTCTTACAGAGAGGGCGAGGTATGAAGCGTCGCTCCAGCTGGTCTGCGATGTGTTGCCGGGCAGAGAGTTCTTCATGATTCTCTGCTGGCTGGGCGAGAAGCTGAAAGGAAAGCATGATTCACAGGTCGTCGATTTGTCCTGCTGTGAAATGAACCTCTCTGTAAGGTATAGCAAACTCATTGTCAGTTGTGAGAATTCAAAAAGGTACACATCTATCAAATAAAGTAACGATGACATCTTAGTACATCACTTAATGAAGGAAGAGCACTCATCAGTACATTGCTTTGAATCACTGTTCCATGAAATTAAAGCAAGGAAAGAATAAAAGAATCTCAACACATGAACAAACATTTGAACTGTTCTTTTAACTGTGTCATCAAAGTAATAACTCACACATGTCACTGAAGCCATGAGAACCTTCTCTAGATTATCCCTTTAAGTCAATCTTTATTTGGGAGGGGGGAAGGATGGGGCAATACTAAGCGAGAGAGGGCAAAGTTGTATAGGTAACTAAAGGTCTTATGGTCAAGGTCCTTCTAACACAAAATGGTATCTTCTGGGTTATTGGTTTAGGCTATTTTTTTTTTTTTTTGGTCACCAAGGATGTCAGTAATAGTTCCTATTAACTAGCTCAAGGGCATCCCTCCAGCATTCTTGCTGCTTGTGACTTATGGCAAGCAGTACAATCCTGGTGTCTACTATTTCCTGGAGGAGAAGCTCACACCCCACCTTGCACTGGATGAAAGGGCGTAAGAGCACAAATATGGGTATTCGGGTCCGCACGATGAAGTCCAGGAAGTCCCACAGGGCCAGGCCTCCCACCTTCCTCAGCGCCATCTCCTTCACCTGGAGGCTCAGCCAGTACCACTGGCTTCCCAGCTGCCTCTCAAAGCAGACGAGAATCACCTTCAGTGCTTCGCAGTGGGAAAAGAGAAAAGTGAGTCTGCATGTCATGCTTCAGAGCAAAAAGGATAAAAATATATTGGTATTTAATGACAGGGCAGGATTTATGTTAAACCTAGAAATTTATGTTAAATCACACATGCCCAATTGCCCACCCCTCCAAAACCCGCATCCAGAGGCGTGGAGACATGGCTAATCTTCTCACCTTTTTCTATTTTTTCCAGTGATTCTGGGTGACGTGTGTTGATATCAGGACAATACACCTTTGCTAAATGCTTATAACGACTCTTTGGAAAAATAGTCATGGAAACAGGGTTTCATTGACTTGAAAGGGAAATGTGTTAAAAATATGGGGGAGATTTGGCTCATATTTTAATTTCTAGAAGTTTTTTCATAGTGCTGTATGGTAATGTCAGTTTTATTACCTACCTCCTAGGCTAAAACATGGGTATTTTAAATGTTTTTCTTTAAGTAAGAGTACTATATTGCTATTAAAAGTAAAATTAAGCCTTTCAGGAATGCACAAAATAGCCAAAATTAAGTCCTTCCTCTTCCTTGCTCCCTTCCCAAACCCACCCTAAATTGTTTACTGCAGGTTGTCAGCAAATGTGTTTGAGTATATGTTTACAGATAAAAACAAACCAACCAAAAAACACCTTGCACTCTGCCCTCCACCATTGCACATCAGGTCTATTAGACAAATTGGACCCTGTGTGTGTGTATGTGTGTGTGTGTGTGTGTGCGCACATGTACATGCTACTGTTTTTTGCTTACTTTTAATAAATTTGCGAAGAAACAAAAAAAGAGAGATGACAATGTAATTGGAGAAAAACAATAAGTTTAGGTCATGTGATCTTGAAAGGACAACATATCTTGTTGCGGAGGATGTGGACTGCATAATACCATGGCCACCATTTGCCTTACATAAGTCTTGTAAGCTGTACAGTGCACACTCTTTGTACACTGGGCTGACTCTAGATATAATGGTAGCTACCAATGATGACCTCATGAGCAATCTTGAACTGCAGCAGGGATGCAGATGCTAGAGGTGCCCTACCATATAACCAGATATTTTTGTAAAAACAGCCAAAGTGATTTAGAGATCACAGCTATGAATGTACTTCATTTTTTGGCATCTGTTTACTGCACAAGACCAGTACATTCATTTGTAAGGCTAGTGCTTTTTCCTTGCTCAAAAACTTCTTTGCATAATTTCTAAGTCAAATTCTTTTAAAATACTTAAGAGATTAAAAAAATCCTTTAAAATTGTTTTTCATTGAAATATAACAAAACCAAATAATTATGCACATATATATGTACATATATACGTGCATATATGTACATGTGCATATATGTACACCCATGCACAGGTGCCTATGTAGAAAGAAGGGGGAGAGGAGGGAAAATACCCACCCAGATATGCTGCTTGGCTAGTGGACTCTGCTAGCCCTTCCCTCCGCAGGTCTTTCCCTGCATCCCCGGGGGTGGAGCAGTGGGCAGGAGAACTCTCCAACATGAAATTCTTACTCCTGGACGTGCTGATGATCCGGGGTGGCAGAAGCACATTAATGACGGTCTGCAGCAACAGCTGCACCTCAGGTTGCTCCAGCCAGGGACTATCTGAGGGGGGCAGAGTTTTGAAGAGAGAAGCGGAAGGAAGAGTCACAGGGCAGACTTTCCACTTTTCATACAGAAAAATTCAGCTCTCTTTCCAATTCCAAACAGAACACCCTAGCTATGTGGTGATCTCACCAAGTACAGCTTCTCTGGACAGAAAGTGTTCCTGGAACCGGGAGCTTTCTCCATAGTTGACACCCAAAGCTTCATGCTTTTAGTCAAATCTTACCATTTCAATTTCCTTTCTTTCTGTCTGTTCAAATACTCATAATACACTCTCTTTATGTTTGAGGTAAAACTTTCCCTAAAAGTGCACCCCCGGAAAGCAAAAAGGATAAAAATATATTGGTATTTAATGACAGGGCAGGATTTATGTTAAACCTAGTGACAGTGGGTTTATACATTCACCTGTCAAGTCTTATCAAATTATCCATCAATTTGTACTATTTAATTGATTGAAACAATATGTTTCTTTGGTTTATTTTTTGTACTGAAGTGATTTTAAATAGAATAGATTATCTAAAAGAGTAGAGGAAAAAAAACATACTTGATTCAGGTTGCTAATCTGAAATAAAAAACAACTCTATTTCCTAAGGTAACTTTGCTTATGTCATTCAGATGAATTTTAGTGATAGACTTTATGGGAAAAGAAAAAAGAAATAATAGCCTGACATTTCAGAAAATATGACAATCATAATTAATTTCCTTTAGTTAAATTAATCAGACCTTTGCTTCCAGATCCTACTGTGAGCACAAATGGGATGAGTAGATTTAAAAGCATCCCCTCCCTTCGCTCTTGATTGGTGAACGGGGAGATCACATGGCTTAAAGGAAAATCTTCTTTTAAGGCCTGTGCAGTAATAATAGAAAGAAAAGATTAATTGACCCCAGACCAATTTGCAATGTTTGTTTTATTAGAGTATGATGGAGACGGCGGCTCCCTGCTGGCTGCTCCTGCAAACTCTGATTTCAGTTGTCATCTGTGCAACATACGAGAGTCACTCAGAACTGATACTTTACCATTTGCTTGACATAATTGAGAGCTATATACCTAAAAGACAGCAAGATCTTGAATATTAAGTGAAACAGGATAACACTCATGATCTGATACACAATTAGCCGCATCTCCACCAATAAATATACAAGAGACAAAATAAAAGTAATAAAATGAAAAATTTCTACCTGCTCCATTTGGGAAGGTTTTTAAAAGTCCTTTGATCCCAGCATAAGGCCTTCTCCAAACCAGAGAGTAATAAGCAATATAGAAAGAAAGAAATGATCTTTTCTCACAGATTATTAAAATATGGCACTTTAGAGATGTCCTTATGTTCCTTCTGTACCCATAGCCGTTCTTAATCATTTTTCTGTCATCTACCCACTTCCTGGAGAATGGACCATCAAGCTTGGTTGTTAGATAATGGATGAATCTGTCATGTATTTACATCAATTACATACTTGGCCATTAATCACAGAACTTTCTCATGGTTTATCACTGTCCAAAATCTGGTGGTACACAGAAATAGACAGAAGAATAGGCATTTCATACATTTTGCCTTGGGAATGATCACTTTAATTTTAAGAAGCAAAACAACAGGGAGAACTTTAAAAAGGTTACTCAAAATATTCGGCTCACAATTGTTAAAGAAAATTGAGATATTATAAAACAATAATATTTCAAAGAATCTTGTATTATAATTCTTTGCGCAAATATTTTAAAAGCAAACTTTGAGTATTATGGCCTTTTTATTGACAAATTGTGAGCTGATTATCAGTGAACCATTATTTACCTATGGATTTGCACACATTTTAAATGACTGAAGAAATACTTAAGTTTGTGGCAAGACTAAATGACTCTGCTATTTTTGAGATCTCAAGAAGAATTACAGAAGCACAACTTAGGGCCAAGCTCAGGACTGAAGCTCCAAACCTGTACAACAAGTTTGGAGATATTAACACTTTTGTTTCACAGATTTTGCCCAGCCTTTGCAGAAAATAAAGAGAACACCATGATCTGGTGCCTCCACCAGCAACTTAATGAGCGTGACAAACAGGTAAGGCAGTCACACCTGTATCTGCAATGCTACAAGCCGGACAACAGCTGTGCTGAAGGGCAGAGGTGGTGAGAGATAAGGGCTGAGATGAAGAAGGGGTAATCCATCAGCAACACTGGAAGGTCCTACCACTCCCATCACCTGAAATACAAACAGAGCACATGACCAGCCTTGACTATTGCAATTTCATGCAACCATAGTAAGGGAGTCTCATTAATAATAATGATGATGGTAAGAATAATAATTTGAAGGTTGGGCATGTTATTTTCAATCTCTTCTCATTGCCTTCTTCAGAAGGCATGTAATGTCTGGAGTCAGATCAAACATTACACTGGATTCAGCCAAGGTTTTGTAGAATGCTGTTTATAGCTAACTATGTAAATAATGAGAGATGAGCCAAAAACTATTCTAATCAGGAGACTGAACATACTTACTTGAGGACTCAGAGGAATGCAGTCAACACTCTCGGATGGAGCAAATACTGAGAACAATGATGATGGCAACAGCTCTATTTGCACTAGGCATTCCAGCTACAGATCTATTGCTCAATTGGTTAAGCAGCAGATCCTGTTTAATGAAATGCTCTAATATGGTTTCACATTGTACAAAACCTTGTCAGGACCAGACTCTAGATATTACTTAAGTGATATATATTTTTCTTCACATAAATCCTAGACTGGCCGACTCATAGTGTCATTTTGCACTTTAAAAAAAAATAAGAAGAAAAATCATTCTCTTTGCGTTTTAAACTTCCCCATCCCAGCCTCAACTTTGAGCCAATTGTACTGTCTCCACCACCCCACTCTCCAACTGGCAGCCCTCAACTCTCAGCGCAACTTAAAGAGGTGAATTGTCAAAGTAGTGCGTGGGAAGCAGCACACGAAAAGCCCATCTGTGAAGGGATGGGCCCCTGTATCTCCCCACGCACCACCTTGAAATGTACCTCACTTTGTTCAGTGTCACCTGAGCCGTCTGTTTTTGTGGGCAGAGAGGGGCACAAAGTGGTTGACCTGTAAATCTTCAATTCAGAGAAATCAATAGCAGAGTTAACTTTCGCAAAGTTTCATAAGATCGCCACTTGGCTACTCACCAGATTGACACAGACATTGATCAGTGACCTAAGGTGAGGCAGGAAGGATATGATTGGCTGCCTCTGAAGTGTCAAACAAACCCCTTCAATCAAATTGCTGGCAGGCTCCCACTCAACCTGTCGCCTGGAATACAATATAGGAGCCATTAGCAGCTTGGCTCCCTTCTGGAGACAGTCTGAAACAAGTGAATGAGACAGTGATTCTGACACCATTTAAGTCAGGGTGGATATTCGAGACAACAAAACGCTTTACACGGGATGAAGTTTACCCATGTTGTTCCAAAAGTACAGAGCACACTGGGAAGGAAAGAAGATACTGAAAACGTAGCAGAGAAACTCCTGCCCCACTGGACTAATGACACAAAATCTATTGAAGAAAAAACAGAGATGATGAATGGGTTGCATTTCAAGTTCCCTGGTTTTATCATGAGGGATGGGATAAGACTACTATTTTATCCTATTTTAAACCTAGCAGGGGGTTATCTGATCTCAATAGAACCTATCTGATTCCAGGCTACACTGCTGAAATCTATTTATCAGACTCTAGCCTATCTCATTAGCTTTTCCACTCACTACCACAGATTGGGGCTGGAGCGATAGCACAGCGGGTAGGACATCTGCCTTGCACACGGCCGACCCAGGTTCAGTTCCTCTGCCCCACTTTGAGAACCCGGCAAGCTGCTAAGAGTATTCCACCTGCAGGGCAGAGACTGGCAAACTCCCTATGGTGTATTCGATATGCCAAAAACAGTAACAAGTCTCACTATGGAGACGTTACTAGTGTCCACTCGAAAAAACTGATGAACAACGGAGGACAGTACTGTAGTGCTACCACAGATTGGAGTGGCATGACTTAATCCCTCTCTGAAAAATCACATTAAAAGAAAAGGTTTACTTAAAAAATGTTCTTTCCTGGATTCCTAACAAAAAATATTTTGTGCTATGTTCTCTGGTGGTATATAAAATGAAAGTATGAACATAGACTCTTCTGTAATAAAAGTTTATCAGTCTGTATCAGATCCCAAAAGAGTCATACCCATGGCCCCTGAATAAACAGATTGGGTACTACTGATAACACTTTTCCTAAATGATTTATTTTTTTTGCTTTTTGGGTCACACCCGGCAATGCACAGGGGTTACTCTTGGCTCTGCACTCAGGAATTACTCCTGGCGGTGCAGGGGGACCATATGGGATGCTGGGAATCGAACCCAGGTCGGCCGCGTGCAAAGCAAATGCCCTATCTCCAGCCTCGTAGTAATATTTTTTTTTCTATTTCAATGAAACTTAAGTTTAATCCACATTTGTTCTTTTTAAAAAAAATATTTAGTAATGATTTTTAACTTTATATTTTCTACTAAAATGAAATTCTTGCAATGGTAAATGGAGATGTTCATAAATGAGGATAGACTGAGGTTCCTGAAGCACAAGTGTCATACTCATGTTCAGTCATATTTCTCATGTGAATTCTGACCAGCTGAAGAAATTAAGGCACTGCCAAATTCACAGCATCATTCCAAGAAACTGTCTACAACTGAACAAGTCTATATACTGATTCAGAAATCTACTGATCTATTTTATGAAATGTTATGTTTTTATAATATGTTGAGACAAAGGAATCAACCTATTGAGGTATTTAACATCGTTAGATACAGTTATTTCATAAACAGGATTAATTTTGATACACTTTTGAAATATTTAAAAGGTTTTGGTCTTCTGCAATACTACAAATACTCATTTTTGTAGGGCACTTTAATGATAAGTAGTTCTATGCTACTTAAATAGATAATCCTGAGATAATGTAAAGGCCATCAATTATTAGAACATAATACTCATCCTATACAATTATATATATACATATATGTATATATATAAATTATATATATACATATATGTATATATATATAATTCCAGTAAGTCCTGGTGTCTGTGCTAATAAGAGCACAGACCAAACTCTGGAAAAAGTCTAACAAATTGATAAAGCGATAAATGTTCTTGAGAAGAATTTCGTTGATTTGGGAGTTGGCTGTATAGTTTATTTTATTAAAGGGCGTAAAATGCAATTTGGAATTTCTAAGTTAGTGAGTTTATTGGTACTTGAAGGTTGCATTATCTACTCACTATAATCACTGATTTCCAAACTTGTCTTAAATCTCCAGCTAGATTGATTAAGAAGTCACTGTCCTTAGGAACATTTCCAGTGCATATATAGGCTCACAGAGTGGAGATCAAGTGGATAATAATGCTCACTTAGTATCACTTTAATTGAAAATGACCTATTTCCTGATATCAATCTTGGTGTTTTGATTTTTTTGCTGCATCTTGGCTGATAAATTGTTATTATTTGCTGGATTATGTATGATTATTATTACTTTAAATACTACATTGAATACAGTATTTTTGTCACTTTTTTAAAAAAAATTTGCCTCTCAGTTATTTTATATGTAAGGAATATTCTGATTTATATTAAAAGAAGGTAAAGTTCACTCTGAGCATTTCTTACTTGTATCAAATAAGGATGACAATAGTTAATAAGTAAATAGCTTTTAAAAGATTATTGCATACATATATTTGTATGTAAGTGTGAGGGATCAAATCTAGAGTCTCACACATGCTAATTATATGTTTCACTATTGAGATACATCCCTAGCCTCCAAAATTATATTTTTAAAAAATAATTTTTTAAAATTATTTAAAATTTTTAAATTCTAAAATTTCAAAGTATAACCCTCATTATATATGTATACACATATATGTACATATATTCATTCAACTCCAAAACTGATCCATCTTAAAATATAAAGACCCCTAACCTGGAGCCTTACAATATTAGCAACTGACTTGGAGACCTCCTCACCTCAAAGTAGGCATCTTATGAATCTTGTTGAACATTCTGTCCAGCCTCTTTAAAATGAGGATAAGGGCTGGCCTCACTGCTTCAGCTGTCCAGTCGGTAATGGGGAGCATCTCCATGATGTAGCGCCGGAGCCCTCGGCTCTCCATCGTCTGAGTATCATATGGTGCAAGCTTCAAAAGGGAGTGTGCTATTTCTGCCAACCTAAAAACAGATTTTAGAAAAGAATAAGCAAAGAATGCCATCAAGGGAATTTTCTTACCCAGAGTCATGCAAAGACCATTCTTCCCCAGACCCTTCACTCTTAGTTCTCCTTGGTCCAGTCAAACACAATGACACCTGCACGGGGATATTAAATGAGATTCATGAACTGTGCTAGAAGTTATGCATCTAATGAGGAAACTAAAATGCAGAGTTTAAGGGAATGCCAAACATAGCTAGACATTACTATAAGGATGGGTACCCACTGTTTTTCAAACTCATTTTCATTTCTCTTCCACAAAGATTCCTCCTCCCTTCCTCCCTCTCCTCCCTCCACCCTTTTGTCTTATACATGGATCTTCCTGTCTCTGCTAACGTTGCCTATAGAGTAAATGTAGTTGGACTGTCTGGGTGGCTTTGCCTTCAGGGCCTCTGCTTTCAACTTCCCCAACAAGGGCTGCCAAAAGGAGAGTGCTTCCTCCAAGTTTATCCCAGGTCCTCAGTCACCAGACATAGGTTTTAAGTTTCTATGTTCTAAGTACAAGAAATTAAGGGAGTTGAACCAACAAGTCTAATTTGGAAAATGGTAAATGTAGTAATTGACTAATTAAATAATCTTTAGAAAAAGATGTGTACTACCAATTTCCAAATAATACAAATAAATCACTATTACTATCACTATCACCCTGTTGTTCAATGATTCGCTCGAACAGGTGCCAATAACGTCTCCATTTGTCCCTGTCACATGCTAGTGTAGCCCAATGGCATACTGGGGGCTCTTTCAGGGCCAGGGGAATGAGGACCAACATTGTTACTGTTTTTGGCATATTGAGTATGCCACGGGTAGCTTGCCAAGTTCTGCCGTGTGGGTGGGATGCAATAAGATAAGATAATAAGATATTTGTATCTTATTGTCTAGATACAAATAAATACATCTTTTTTTTAAAAAAAATTCTATTAGTGAAACACCATGAGGTACAGTTGTAGATTTACAATTTTTTGTGCTTGGGTTTCAGTTATACAATGATTGAGTACCCATCCTTTCACCAGTGCACATTCTCCACTACCAATGATCCCAATATCCCTCCTACCACTCTTCCATCCCCCCAATCCCATCCAGCCTCTGTGGCAGGCCCCTTTTTTTCTCCCTCTCCTTTTGGGTGTTGTGGTTTGCAATTGAGGTACTGAGTGGCAATAGCCAATTAAATGTATTTTTAAGATAGATTTAAAAGCTTGCAATGCACTACCATTAAATATACTCATTAAAAGAAGAAAAAGCATAATGTATAGAAGATATTATAAGACAACATATACTTTTGTGTGTAATTATCTTGTGTCTATGTCTTATGATAGGAGCATAATTTTTTTCCAGAACAAGTTATATTATAAAATACATGTTCAAAATTTCTATCATAGTGGCCTTAGTGCCCATGGTCATTATGGCATTGGAAATTCTTTTTTTTTTTAATTTTTATTAGTGAAGCACCATGAGGTACACTTGTAGGCTTATAAATTTTTCTGCTAGGGTTTCAGTTATACAATGATTAAATACCCATCCCTCCACTATCCCTCCCTCAGTGCCCATTTTCCACCACCATGGGTCCCAGTATCCCTCCCACCCCCTATCATCCCCAAACCCCTCCCCCCATCCCACCCTGCCTCTGTGGCAGGGCATTCCCTTTTGTCCTCTCTCTCCTTTTGGTGTTGTGGTTTGCAAAAGAGGCATTGAGTGGCAATCATGTTTGGTCTATAGCCTACTTTCAGCATGCTTCTCCCATCCTGGGAGGATCCTCCCAACACCCTTTATTTGGTGCTCCCTTCTCTGTCTGAGCTCCCTTTTCCCCTAGCATGTGTGGCTGGCCTCCAAGTCATGGAGAAAAATTCCTGATGCTAATCTCGGCCACTCCTGGGTGTTAATCTCCCATTTTGTTGCTTTATGTTCCCTTTCTGTGTCTATCCTGCTCTGTGAAGTGGGTTTTAAATGGCTACCAAAATCTGTTTCCATTTTTATCCCTCATCCTGGGAAGATCCTCCAAACACCCTTTATTTAGTGCTCCTTTCTCTATCTGAGCTGCCTCTTCCCCTAGCATGTGTGGCTGACCTCCAAGCCATGGAGCAAACCTCTTGGTACTAATCTTGGCTACTCTTGGGTGTTAGTCTCCTATTTTGTTACTTTATGTTCCCCAGATGAATGCAGGCATTGGAAATGCAAAAGCTATTTAAATGATATTGGGATTTACTATACTGTTGATCATATTTTTCATGTATACAATAATTAAACCATACCCATCACCAGATAATATTTTCACCTCTGGTGTCCTAAAAACTCCTCCCAACTCCTCACCCTTTGTAAGATCAGTTCTATAGACAAAATTTTGAATTTCAATAACTTTGACTATTTGTTGTTCCCTTACTATGTTCTTTTTTTCATCACACATATGGGAGAGATCTCTTTTCAAAACAATTTCTTAAGTGGAGCAATTAAACCCCTAGCACCCATGATTTGAATCTCTGGCTTGAGTCAGCATTTATCTAGCAAGGCATCCAAAGTACCTTAGGAAGTAGAATACAGGGTAGGGCAATGATGGAAAGAGAGAGTAAAGAGGTGAATATTTCTTAGCACATGTGCATGACATCTTTAGGAAAGGGCTGTATACTGAACATTTTGAGGACTGTTACTGAGGAGGAAGAGGTTTCAAGGAAAAATGACATCAGAAAAAAAAATTCTATTTTTTTAAAAAGCAAATTTGCCTTGGTAAAGCCCTGAGGATAATCTTAGTTCATAGACTCTCTAAGTTAAAAGAGACTATACCCCATTTTATCCACATGTGGACCACAGATTGAGTCCTTTTTAACAAATGTATCTCAAAATAAAAAATAAAAATATGTCTCAGGCCCTAAGAGCTAATGAACAAGAATCCCCAGGATTGAGTTCAGAAAGCTAGATAATTTTTAAAATGTTCTGGGATGTTTAAAATGTTAATTGAATGGATATGAAAGAAATTAGGATAGGGAATACTAGGAAGAAAAAGAAAAACAAGTAAATTTATCCTAAAGAGGAACTAGTTTGGAATGTTTATAGAAGGCCAGTGTCGGTGAGTTAGAAGAAATTGGGGACTGAGTTCAGTGTTATATGAAAGGAAGAGAGACATCTGATTCTGACAGTCTTTATATATTAGTATAAGGAATTGATGCTTTAATTCAGCAACGTTTCTATGGTGAAATAAATTCTTTTATCTTTAGTACTCTTTCAGAACATCTATAGATGTTTTATATTTATCTTTAAAGTCACTGATTTGATTTTTCAGTTTCTTCAGTTCTGCTATTGAGCATTTTTTACTTATATTTTTTACCACCATGAGTTCTTTTTGAACTTTTCTCAAATTTTATGCCATACTTCCTGTCTTTGTTGATGTTCTTTTAATTGATCTCTTCATTTTAGTGTGCATCCTTAGAACTGTTGCTTTCGAGATTTTTTTTTCAGATAGCTTTCATAGCTCTGTTGTAGCTGTTCTTTTTAGGCTTACTGTCTTGAGTCATGAGTATGCATGGAGCATACTTTCTCTGATTTTTTTTTGGAAAAGTATAATAAGAAGGATATTAAATCTTTTCAAGTTTGGTAAAACTCATTATTTAATCCATCTTATCTGGGGTTTCTGTTCTTAAAGAGACCTTTTGATTATTATTTTTGTTTCTGTATTTGTTGTTGTTCTATTCAAGCTATCTCTATCTTTCTATGTCAGTCTTGAGAGGTTGTATGGTTCCAAGAATTGAGTTACTTACTTTAGTTGTCAGATTTCCTTGGATATAGATATGCATAGCAGTCTCCTATCTTTCTTTGTATTTCTGTAGCATTTGTTGTATTTTCATATATCTCATTCACAATTCTATTTATCAGAGTTTTCCTTCTTTGCTTTCTTAGTGGGACTATATAAGTCTGTCAATTTTATCTTTTTAAAGAATCAGTTAATGCTTTTATTAATCTTTGTATTTCCTTTCAGGATTCTATTTATTTTTGCTCTAATTTTTCTTATTTCATTTATTCCACTGGCTTTTGGTTGTATTATTCTTTCTTGTTCTAGTTCCTTCAGATGTAAAAACAGTACTTACACAGAAAAAATACAAAAGACTGAGTAGATATTCATATATAATAATCAAATATGGGAAAACATACAAAATATAACAAAAATTATACAATTCAAAAACAACAACAAATTACACAATCAATAAATGGAGAGGAGACCTGAATGTATGCTTCTGCAAAAGAAGACATAAACATTGTTAACAAGCATGTGAAAAAATGCTCAAATCTATTTAATGTTAGGTAAGTGTAAATCAAAGCCACAGTGAGACTCACTCCACATCTACTCTGTATCAAAAAGACTGGGAAAGACATATATTAGGGTGTGGAGCAAAAGGAACTCTCATACATTATTGATGAAAATATAAAGTGTGTAGCATCTATAGAAAGCAATATCAAAATGTCTTAAAAAATTTAAGAATTAAAGTATTATATGACCCAGTAATACCGAATGCAGGCATTTACCTGAATAACATGAAAAGAATAATTCAAAAAATATTGAAATCTTGATGTCTGTAGTAACATTATCCACAATAGCCCAGAGAGCTTGCTATGAACAACACTATTCTGTTAAGCTGGAGAATTTAGAAGATATGAACAGATTCCTTGAAACATAAAATCTCTCAAAACTGAATGAAGATAAAGTAGAAAGCCTGAACAGCCTAATGACAAACAAAGAAATTGAAACAGCAATTAAGAATCTCCCCAGCCAGATAAAGAAGGGAACACCAAATAAAGGGTGTTGGGAGGATCCTCCCAGGATGGGAGAAGCATGCTGAAAGTAGACTATAGACCAAACATGATTGTCACCCATTTCCTCTTTTGCAAACCACAACACCCAATAAGAGAGAGAGAACAAAAGGGAATGCTCTGCAACAGAGGTAGGGTGGGATGAGGGAGATGGGGGGTGGGAGGGATACTG